CATTATTTTTCAGTCAAACCATGGGTAAATTTCCCATGGGATTCGGGTCTCAAAATTTGGTGTATGGGTTCCTAGTATTATGAAGTAATAAAGAGTCATCCAAAAATATTTATTATGAAAAAATAGAAACATATTATACCAGGAAAATGGAGACAGTAATCTATTGAAAATCGGACAAAAACTGTGAAAATCACAATTTTTCAGTCAAACCATGGGTAAATTTCACATGGGATTTGGGTCTCAAAATTTGGTGTTTGGGCTCCAAGTATTATTAAGTAATAAAGAGTCCTACAAAAATGTTTATTATGAAAAAATAGAAACATTTTATACCAGGAAAAAGGAGATGGCAATTTATCGAAAATAGCAAAAAATCATGAAATAACCGAATTTTCAGTCGAAGCGTGGGTAAATTTCCCATGGGATTTGGGTCTCAAAATTTGGTGTGCAGGTGTTTTAAGTCATGGACAACAGTAAGTCAAATGAGGAAGATGATCCGAAAGAAAGTTGGTTTTTCGCCATATTTTGGACCACCCTAATGTGTATTGTGCTAATTTTGATGAAGTTTTAGCCTTAACCTTATCTGCCGATAAATTTGATTATAAGCGAGGGGCCTGCAATTTTTACGAATAAAGCTTTTGTCACATTTGCTAATAGGCAGATGTAAGGTCTATCGTTTCTGGTGTCAATAGTAATACCAATTTCTTAGGGACAACAAACCAATGGTGAGTAGCTAGGCCACCTGAATATATATTTTGTGCCTTAGTCACGCTCCGAATTCATATAGAGCAGGGTCTTGGGCTTAGTTTGAGTATAGTAGCTTGGTCCTGACCTCGACAATGAATGTGATATTTGGTCTAAAGATGGCGCCCCGCATCACTCTTGCCCGTATCCAGCTTGTGGCAAGGGGGAACTTTTTGGCCCGAAAAGTGCTCAGTATGATGAAAAACTGAATGATTTTGAAAAAATTTCTAGCCAGGTAGCTTCTTCCCATGGTATATGACTTGAACACACATTAAGTTATGCGATCTATATCAAATAGTAAGCGGTCTCGTTTGGGGGTCCAGGGAGACTAGTGCCCTAAAGCTTAGTGCCCAAGCTTCCCCGAACCACCGTCAGTGATTATGTAACAGGTAGAGTATATTTCATTGATCCTAGGATGATGATATTTTCATTTTTTGTAAAGACAGGCCTGACATCAAGATCCTGTAACGGATCTTCTCTCTAACATATGAGTAACGGTAGGGGCCCCAAATGTTCGTAACTCTTGGGTAGTGGCCGGCCCATGATGTGTTCTTCATTAGCAGCCTTGTGATGATAGGGAAGGGAGGGGGGTGTTGTAATTTATGTACATAATCACATATATATCGGATTGTCCCCGATTGTTTGTGCGATTGTCTCCAGTTGGAATAACTTAGTTGAGTAAATCGGTATGAACGGTTCGTTGTGGTTTATTCGTTGTGCCTGATTGTGTTTTGATGGGTTGAGTAAATCGATTGAGAATTTGGTTAAGCCTTGTTGTGTAATGGTGGGTTAGTGTCAAGTAGGTATAGGTTTTGCCGAATTGTGTTGTGTACGTTTGAGACTCGGTTCTCTTTTGATGGTTGTGTCCCATTGTGTTATGTTCAATCTTATAATGGGTTGTTTTCTCTTGGGAATATGTTATGTTGGTTGGCTAGCTGGTTGTGGCTAGTCGGGTGAGGTATCTTGTTATGTCTGATTGTGTTGTGTGATTGGCGTTGTCTCCAATTGGGTTAAGTTAGTTGTGTATCTCGGTATTACAATTTTAATGTGTTTTTTTGCCTGTGCCTGATTTTGTTTTGACTGTTTGGTTTTGGGTTTTGAAAAATTGTGTTGTGTTACTTGAACAATGGGCTGTGTTTGCTTTTGTTGGTTTACTATTGGGTTGTGCCAAATTGTGTGGTGATAATTCCACAGTTCGATGTGTTTTCCTTGTTGTTAGTTTATTTTCGTTTTATTGATTGTGCCTGATTGTGTTTTTATTGTTTAGTGTTGGATTATGCACAATTGTGTTGAGTTAATTCAACATTTGGTTGTGTTTGTCTTTGTTGTCTTATTATTGGGTTGTGACATATTGTGTTAATCTGACAGTTGGTTGTGTTTTGGTGGTTGTAATAGGTTAATATGTCGAGTTGTGGGCTGTGTTCGATCAAGTTGTGGTGTTTATCTGGTTAAGAAACAAATGGCCGGTTTAGAGTATTATGTTGTTAGTTTATCAGTTGATTCTGTGTAGACCCCAAAGGGGATATAGGGTATTATGATGGTGAGATATTCAACTGGTATGATAGGTGTTAGCTTCGCGTCATTCTCTGATGAGCTGGTCCCCTATTGTTCAATGAATTTAAGAAAAACAATGCTAATTTATCTTTTTACATAATATATTTTTTGTTGATTTCTTATACAAAACATACTTTAATTGCATAAATGATATATTTGTGTCGCTTTCTATGATCAAATATGTTACTTTGCTCCCCTCCTTAGTTTATATGAGGCATGGGTTTTCAATAGACTAGATGCGAGTAGAAATAATCTTAATTTACGTCATTTTATATTCAAAATTCGGTCAAAGTGATCTCATATTTGAAATCTGCATGTAAAAGTACATCTAAAAATATGGTTTCGAAAATTGTCTATCAACTTTGAAAATTTAATTTTTCTTGAAAATGTGACTTCTTGTTCGGGTTGATTCCCCATAGACCCCATGTTACAAAATCACAAAAAGTTAATTATCTTGTCTTGTAATGGACAGATAACATTTTCTTTCACTGGACATATTTTAATTTGCATAACTATTAGATACATAAGGGTTATATGAAAATTGAACCACGCAAATAGATGTAATTTAAGTTAAAGGGAACTTTCTACTATACTCGCCATGCTATCTGACCCGAACGAGCCACCTGGTGGTGAATCTGGTAACTACCTACTCGCATCTGCGTTATTAAAGCCCATGTATGAGGAAAGTGGTTGGCTTATGTGAAAACGTATGGTTTCCGAATGCCTTGGCCTTGCCCAAGTCGCTATTTTTTACTTATTTGATCTTGAATTATTACCAAAATATACAGCTGCAAAAACATGAAATTAAAGGTCCATGTGCAGTATGGCAAGTGATTTTAGAAATGTTTACGCATTTTGTGGCATAATGCAGTCACTAAATATATATATGCAGTCACTTAACATAATACGTCACTTAATGACCACTATTCAGCCTATCTGTTTTCAAACCCTTAAATATTCCCAGAAGTATAATTTGACACTGAATTGAATATTTTAAACCTAGAAATAATCTTTTCTGGCCTAAAGGATATATTTCATTTTGAAATTGATATCATGAAATTAATAAATGACACCTTAGGGATGAAAGGGTTCATATGTACTTTTGCACTCACCAAAAATACTTTTGGAGTCGTGATTCTGAAAGCTGACACTCCCAATGGTGTTTTGAAATCTTAGTGCAGATGAAGCCTTTTATTTGACCCTAGTTTTCACTACTATTAAACACGAATTGAGATGCGTTTATAATTACGTACTTCAAAAAACGAACTGCGAAACGAAAATTATCGAAATACGTATCCGTAAACGTAACGAGATACGGATGCGGATGCGTTTTAGCTAATTCGTTTTGCGAAACCTCTCTAATGCCTTGAGATTACCGTATAAGGTTCAAGAAAGACACCCTGAGCTTATCAACATTGACCCTCATTTACAAGTCATTTGCTTTCAATTTAAGTGTCATCCCACTTGGTATCCGAACTATCACAATGCAAGTATACATCATGAAAATACTAATTCCATAAAAAATTGGAGCAATGACACATATGCCTTCCACTGGACACTACCTACTCCTCCAGAACTGAGAAGTATGGAGGCTGCTGTCCAATCAAAAACGATTTTTGCAGAAATTGCTCAGTTTGTTTTAAAAAAGGCAGGACTCCTTAAAATATATTAATTCTTTAAACATTACTACCGCATTTGAGGTGTTAACTTACAGTTTATAAGCATTCACTAAGTTTAGGTTTAAGTTTTTAATCTAAAATATATTATTTCTGTTTCACAGGTATAAAAGATTTCATTACATAATTTAAACACTTTTTAAAAAACAACAATGTCAGATGTCCGTTCGATTTAATCCGGCAAATCATTTGCGATGCCCGTGTCTAATTTGACCAAACTCAGATTCCAGTCATCGAAAGAAAGTCCCCGGCGGTCTGGGTTTAACGTGAGTGTGGTCACATTAGATGGGGTAGATTAGATAAGGGTATCTTAGGACACTCGCAATTTATTTGCCAGATTAAATCAAACTGATATCTAAATGGCACCATGAGGAGCCCGTAACAGTATTCCAAGGATATTGCAAGGCTATCCGACGATGACCGGGCTGTGGTACGAAAGCCGGAAGACTAACTTACGAATGCCGAACGACACCCGTCCTTACATTGGGTGGTCTACGGGACACCTTGGAGCATTTACAGTTGTACAAAAGTTACAAGATGAAAGTACGACGTCCTTCCATGACCTTGGAATGACGTTGACCTTTTAAGATGACCTTGAGCCCAGGTAACCTAATCATTGATCGTCAAGGGTCATAGCAGCCCCAAAGACCTTAAATCACCAAATACCTATATATTGACCTTTGACCTAGGAATGACCTTGACCTTGGGTCACTTAATCATGGGTCGCAAATGTTCACAACAAATTGCATTGAACGCCAACTACCAAGATATTGACCTTTGACCTTGGAATGACCCTGACCCATAGAGTTGACCTTGACCTCAAGTCACCTGATAAAGGGCCATCAAGGGTCGACAGCAAAGACCAAGGATGAAAAAGCCGAATACCTAGATATTGACCTTTGACCTTGAAATGACCTTGACATCTGACCTTCTTAGAATGCCCATCGACCGACTTAGTATGTTGACCAACTATGAGGGCCCAATCAAGGTAAAATGGTCTACGAGGATATGTCCGGACACACAGACAAAGAAACACAGACGACCGTGCTTTATAGTAAGAAGATGCTGTACCCCCCCCCCTTCCCCCTGGATCCGCCAGTGCTACTTTCAATAGTGTACGAGATAGTGACATGCCGTTTTCAATAGTTTAATTATTTTGAGATATATTTTTCATTTATCTATAGGAATCCTCCTTGTTCACAAGTTTACAGAAAATCCTGGGTTAAAATTTGATGTCCATTATTCAAAAACACGCGTAGTAATTTTGTCACACACTTTATTATTGTTGTCTTTTTATTCTGTCGCAGCAATTACAGCTTTTTCTGAAATCTGTTAACGAAACTAAAATCAAAATGACAAGTAAATGGGTAATTGACTGTCAATCCGGTACACTTGAATCGTCTTACCGGAGTGATATCATTGGACCCTGGAGGGCGGCCTGTATTGTTCCAAATATTCCGCCGAAGATCGACGATGCAGTACCTAATACTGAAATGTAATCGCCAAACATGATCAGATGATGCAGATTTTCAAAATTGCGGTACGCTGCTTTGTTTGAATCTGCTCCATACCACACATCAGCATTTTTCCATATAACTATAACACTACAAGCATCTGTCTTATCGATCCTTTCATATATACCTTTGGCCATTCTTTCTAAAAGACCTTGTGGCAATTGGACAGCATTTAACTGTTTTCTTGCGCTTTCCAATGCCTTTTTCCCATTGCACAGAATTGGTCGAATAGCCGATAGATGTCATTCATTGATTAAACATGACGTCATATTTGAGATCTTAAGATAAATCTGACGTCATGACGTCAGTGCCATAGAAACTGAGATTGTCTTATTTTATTTTGACGTCATTCCAATGTAATGAACCAGTTATATCACCAAAAGTTATCATATTTTGTTTGAAATTGGCCGAAAAGTTAAAGGTATGAGGATTCTAATCTCAACGGAATCAAACAGATCTACCTTCAAAGTTACAGAAACCTGAGATGACTAAGATACCATATGATTTTAAGTACCTCTACCAGACCGTTGAATATCCTCATTTCACCATTTTGACGCCATTTCTAATGGATTTCAATGGAGTCATGCATGAATTCCTCATGATTTTTTCAAAACAAATTGGCCGAAAAGTGTGCATGTGTACATTGCTTAAAACATGTTAAATCAGTAAAGGTTGATGTCTAGTTATAGAAACCTGAGATGACTAAGGTGGCAAATCAATATCATTCGCACAGTAAGCGTTCGAAAAATGTCTCCATTATAAATCCCATAGGCTTTGGAAAACCGGAAGTAATGGTTCTGCGCATGCGCAGTGAAATATTGGACAAATTTTGTGCAATGCCCACCATTTTGATTCTTAATTATGCTTGCAACCACAATATTTCGTCCTTGTTCTCGAAATAGAATATGTCCATCACATGCGCTCACCTGATGCACTCCCGATCCAGTTATCGGATCGTAAATAACTACAAACCAGCTGCGCCAGTAATATTTCTCCGTTAACATTTTGTATACGTTAATAGCAAATTGTTTGTTAGCCATCCCATAACTGTCGACAGCAAGCTTTTTGATATCAATTTTCGACTGGACATGATAGTTATCTTTAACAGCCTCGTCCATCTGCTCGTAAATAGATTTCACTTGTAGAATCCTTTCTTTCCACTTATCCGCCCTTTCTTTTGCAATCGTTTCGAATCCCTGCACAGTACAGTCAAATAGGCAATTTCTATCTTTACTGCTTGTAATATGAGTCGCATAACACCAAGAAGAAACCCTTGCGTCTTGTTTCGGTCATTTTTGGTGTAGCGCATGATTGATTGACCAAGATTCTCCTGAAACTCGCCTTGTGGATTAACTATTGCCTGATATAATTTTAACCCACTGTTCTGATAATCGTTTTCATAGTTCATGATGAATATGTAGCTTTTATTTGAAGCCGGTGCTGTACTGGTATAGAGATCCCTGTATTGTTCACCCATCGCCATGATCCTTTGCTCAATCTGCCCGAAGTTCACTGCTACCTTTGTCCAATCAACCAAGCGTTCAATGTCATCGAAGCGGGAATCCATTTGATCGAATCTGTTGTCAATCTTTTTCATCATCTCTTTCATGAACGCTAACTCTGCGGAATCTCCCATTGGAATGAAGGCCATAATAAGACTAACGAATGGTCCCAATGCACCAAGGAATGGCGCTATTGATCCAGCAATTTTAGTCAAAGCTTTTGTAAATTTCTTGTCTTTTATAACATCAAGAATCTCTTTTCCGGTATATCCATTCGAATCAGGTAGACTAAATTGTTTATTTATTTCAAATATAACCTTCAATAGCATTACGTTTTTTTAATTAGACTAGAATTTTATCAAATAAAAGTCTCTAGAAAGAGAGAGTTCTTACATTTTGACGAGCACCAAAGAGACTTGTATCAAAATATTACTTTTTATCCAATACTTGGACGTGTTATAGGTACATAAAGTAGGTTTGTATAAAACCTTATATTTCCATCAGCGGGCAGATATAGCTTTATGTCGCGCTCCGAGTGGGCAGATATAGTATATCTGCCCGCTACGTCATAATCGCCGTTCGCATATTGGTTCATCGTGTAACGTTCGCAACTGTAAACGACAATGGAAAGAACGCGGACAATTGCGATCTGTTTGATGGTTTTATGATAAGGGAATGAGCATAGAGTGGAGAAAATAAATGTGGTTGAAGAAAACAAAACTGCAGGACATGAATATTCTAAAATATTTCTATGGTTTAATGGAAATTTTCTGAGCTGTGGCCAATTGAACAATGTGAACCAATTTGACCAAGATCGGTATGGGATAAACAGATCATCCTATAGTTGGTTCAGGATATTGGCATATTATATTGGCCAAGGGATAATCGCAATATGGTTCCATATATAATGGTAAATAATGGTATCGTCCCTACGGTCCCTCGGGTAGATATATTGTATTTCCCTAAGATATACCCTGTATTGAAAACCTCCCACCTCTGTATCTTCCCGCTGATGAAAATATAAGTTTTTACAACTGCTTTATGTCCTGTAACACGTCCAAGTATGGGATAAAACAATTACGTCACATTTTGATAATATTTACGCAACTTCTCTACCGTTATGGCATTGTTTTTATTAAATTATTTCAGCGTTTTGATACATTATATCTAGTAAGACGATAAACGTTCAGCCAACGTATCTCAAGTGACCTAGATAACATATGGAAAGATATATATATAACAATTTCCGTTATTGAATATATCACTTGTTGCATATTTCTTCATACATGTAATGCGTACGTACATGCTAGAAGTAATGATTCGTTTGAAAATAAAACCACTACCAATGTATGGAAATGGTAATCATTGTAATATCAAGTCACATGAAAAAATGAAAGCCATCCCTTTAAATCTACTTCTTCGGGTTTTCACATCAGTTTTTAACACTTTGTGTAAATAGGAAGGTAAAACAGATATCACTTCAAATAATTTATCTAACCATTTCTCATTATTTCTGTCAATATCAATAGAATAGCGGGACTATGTTGCAAATAATTCAGAATAAGTCTTGTTTGCCATTGAGCTCAAATATCAAAATGGAATTTTCAAACTTATTATTTAGAATTCTACGCAGTAAAAAAGTTGCATATTGGGTAGTTTTAAAATTAACGCTATGGAATTTAAAACCTAAACCAAAATTTGAATAAAATATGGTTATGGAGAAGTTAGATCTCATAATGAAAAATGGACGCTTTTGTTCACTATGGAAATAACATTACATATCACTGGATAAAATAGTTCAACATACCTCCAACTCTTCTTTTTTGAAGATCCATGTTTATTGATGCAGTCTTTTGCAAGTCGTCTCGTCTCCCACTCTTGACGGTTTGACATCGCCTTTAATACCATATTCATGCTTATTAACATACCTCTGTTTTTCAATATATCATTTCGATATGTTTTCCCTACCTCTCAACCCCAAAATTGAATACGAGGAATTGAATAATAATTTCAGCATAGTTCCAAATGATATGATTTTTGTTCGAATGTGGCATCTTCCCAAACACAATGTCCCAGCGTGTTATTATTTTACAATATTCACTGTTGAGATGCTCCGTTTCTACCAATTTCGTACAATGATGACTTATTCAAAATACATTTGAAGACAATGCAGTAGAAATGTTGAAACGAAATAACGTCCACTGCGCATTTCCGGAAGTGAATTGGATTTCATCAAATTCAATAAACTTGTCAAATTAAATTGAAAAATGTGTTCCTTATGAAAAGTTGGATATGATTTGCAAAGTTTCAAATTCAACGGGTGTTCCTGAAAAAAGGTAATGTATAAGCATTTTGGTAAGCCGGTGCCCTATAAGCCACTGCACGAATCATCTCTATATATCTTTGTGAATAACTGTCACAGACGTGTGGACTGAACTCTACCATAATATAATGGCAACTGCTACAAATGTGCAATACGAAATCGAAATCTATCCTTTAAATTTCCCTCAAAGTGACATGAAATTGCCCCAAAATGACCCGTACCCTCATACTTTGATACATTGTATATTTTGCAAGGACGCCCCTGGATTCTAAAACTTTGCAATCTTATGTAACTTTATGTAACTGTTATGTATCACCCTGTATGCATGTATGCACGTAAACACGGACAAATGTTACTATTAGCTAGTTCAATAATTGATGAAAAGTGTTTTATAACCATATTTATCACGAACCTGTATATTAAGAATATTTGAACTCCCTGGATGACGATTTGAATAATTTAAATTATCAAACATTGCCTTTCCTTTGGTATCTTTATTACTAATAATGAACCAAACAAAATTTTATTGATGACACTGCATAAAATTCAATTCTATCAAATTTTATCAAACCCTCATGGTATTTATCATCGCGAACCTGCATACTAAAGCATTTTTGCGCTCCCTGGATGAAGATAAAGATTTGAATACTAGTAAATTAAATTATTCAACGTTACCTCGATTGCATCAATAATGAATTTAAGCAAAGTTTAATTGATGATACTGTATAAAATTTAATTCTATCAAATGTTATCGAACCCTCATATATGAATGCTTGAATGTAAAATGGAATTAATTAACCGATTGGTTGTTTTGAAAATATGTTTTGCTCTAAAATAAAATAATATAACTATACGAAGACCCTGTGATTTTCTATGTTGAAAATGCATCGGGAAGGGAAAAACACATACAAAAGAGTGGAGGACAGGAGAACCAACGGAGTGAAATACCTGTAGCTGAAGAGTAAAATATCTGTTCTGAAATGGAATATTAAGTTATCATTCCCTTTGAAATAGCAGGGGGACTCCTTCCCGACCGCCATTTTTGGTTAGATGGTTGATGTTCCATTGGCAACCATAAGTTCTGGCGGTTAAAATTTTGAAATCTGTTTTAATTTTCAAAAAATTGAACATTACTTTTACAATATTGGTTTCCCTCCCGTTCGCAGTTCGGAGCTTTCCCTTGGTCGAATCTGGCTGAGCAAGTTATAGTTTGCTATCTGAGGTACAACCTAACACCGCTAGTGGGAAACAAACTGGCCCTCCGTGAGGTCTAGAAGCGAGTTCTAGATTGCAAATGTACTCCCTGAGGTACAATCGCTCGCCTGTACCTCAGGGACTTCATTTGCTGGAGCTCGTAAACTGGAGCTTGTACCTCAGGGAGTTCAATTGCAAACTCCAGGAGGTACAAGCGAACTTTTTGTAAGTGTAACATTTTTTGAGACACTCTGTAGAATTGTGATTCGAGTTACAGTGTTGATGATCCTTTAGACCGGTATTACAAAATAGAATCAGGTTTTATTGAACACCGCATGCAGTCGTATCAAGGTCTCGTAGGGACAAATGAGTTTGACACATACGTTACATAACTTTGTCAAATGTACTTTTGTATTTACTGAAAATTAAATCAAGTTTAATAGGAAACAGTGCGTTGTAGCACTGATAAACGGAAAATTCAGTTTTTTTTCTCACAGAACTTAACGCAAATGTGATTAAATATTGTATAAACATTTTACACTCATTTTAGGCCTTGTTCTGCAAGAACATCTATTGAATGTGTTTTTATCCACTCAGCACGACATTAATTGTGCTATCTATTTAACATGATGTTTGACCTTTATGGACCTATGTATGTCCACATCTGACCAAAGATATCTTACAAAAACACAATAAACATGAATGGGATGTATATGGGAGCCATATTCCTGGTGATTCTCGCAACATCCGGTAAGAATTATGGTTTGATTTAGGAGATAATTGATGAACTGTTTAAAGGGATTATGATTTAAAATCATAAGATTGTAAATCAAAGTGAACATTGGCGGAAATTAAAGAACTTAATTAACTTAATTAAAGAACGTATTTTTATGGGCAGTATCAAATAAAAAATTTCAAAAATATAAGAAAGGAACCTTAATTCTTGGTTAACAGTGTGACTATTCAGTGACTCAAAAGAAATTTATAAAAATGGTCAACATATAAATATAAAATATTCAGGAATATACAACAGAGCAGCATACATGCGTGTAAGACCGAATGTTAAACATGTGTATATTCTAATTATTCACCTCAATCTACAGTGAATGGGCAAAACGGGTGTAACTGTGCTGGCCTACCAGATGGCTGGGTGTGCGAATCTGGATGCAAAGCGTTTACTCGATGTGTAAACGAGCAGCCAGTATACACTGAGTGTCCTCCCTACTACGTAGTGGAATCTGAAACGTGGACGTGTGTTCCGTAAACTGCTGTTGTATTCGGACAAGCGCGCATGCGGACAGAAACACGCATTGTATACCGTAGTCTACAGTATGTTGTGAATAATGTTCTTGGAATCGCTAACACGTATTTTTATCGAAAATGTGATATTATACAATGTACCAATCGTATTTCAGCGAGGATTCTGCACCACCACCATGCGGACGAGGATTTGATAAAAACTGTACAGGTTTACCCGATGCTAGATACCCGGATGTAGAAAGTGGATGTAGTACTTACTACTCATGTGAAGAAGGCAATTTTGGAATCAGACAGCCATGTCCCGATGGTAAGTTGCTGCGGGAGCTCCAGAGCTTCATACATTGCCAAAAAAGCAAAATTTGCAGTGGGTTATGTCAAAATCGAGTGCACAGGGCGTGTTTTATTTCGTATAACCTTGCACATGAGTCGCTTCACTTGGAATGTTGCAAAAAATAATTTGTAATGTACTTGTGATCCTGTATGGATCTGTATGAATTGCAAAGCCAATGATTAGTATTGATAAAGCACATACACAATAATTGATAGTTAATTAAAAAGGTGTGTTTTATTCGTGAATTTTGCACTAAACTTGAATAAATGTACCAAAATACTCTCGATTTTCTTCAATTTGGAAATCCGCTGTGAGTAATTTTTGTCGCTCATGAAACCACTGATGAAAGTTTAAGTCTCTAATTCAACAGGAAAACAATTTTTTCAATCGGATAGTGTCAGATTGTTAGGAAATGATTTATCTTTAAAACGATACATAATACATGGCATGGTTTAACATATATTATAGTAATGGTTGGAAATTGCCTCTAGTTTATGTTTGCTAAATTTGATAACAAATAGTATAGGGAAGAGTGTTCAAATCACGGGTCAAAGTTATTATCGAAAACTTGTGTGGGGTACTATGATATCTATCTTTAAAATTTTGAATTGTTTTTGGACCACCCCGTATATGCACTATGAGTATGTACATGTTACATAGTAACAAATCAATCAAATGCGGAATGAACAGTTTATAACATACTACAGGGTGGTCCAAAAAATGAAATTGACATTTATATTATGAACGCTGGTTGACAGACATTATAATACATTCAACTTATGATATACCAAATTAAAGATAAGTAAAGTCCCTATCCACTGGTATATAATATGACATATTTTCATTTGGAAAGTCATTATTTATTTTTGAAATACAAGTGTCCCATTTTTGGACCACCCTGTATATTATTAAGTATAGCCAACTGTTTACAGTTTAAAAAGTATTCTATATCTCGTGAGTGCACATACTTTTCACTCAGTCAGGTAGCCATCATTTCATTCATGACATGCCGTGTATCTGGTAGTGCTGCGCATGCACTTATTTATATATTACACACTCCAAGGAGGGTTGGCTCCTAGAGTGCAACATCGATATTCTGTCCCATATATGAACATGTCGTGATACAAAATTCGAATTTAAACAGCCGTCATTTTGTTCACTTCAACATTTGAATCGTGAATTTTGGTCTTATTTCCTTACAAAAAATTCCAAAACTCAAAAGAAATGATCGAGATATTGGTTCGATTCTTTTGGACTGTTTATTTTTAATTTCAGAAAATAACGACGTTTTCATTGTTGGAAAATATCGAGTTTCGATCCTGGGAGCCAATCCTCCTTGACACGCTCCAAGCAATCAAAGTTCGGGTTTTTAGTAAAAAAATCACTATTCAAGAAGTCCTGACTTAGGGAACGCATCTGTATTCACGCATGCCCATATAAGGGCAGTCTCTTTTTGTTCTACACGCACTGCAGACGCACTTGACACAGTACTCACGTATACTGCAAACATTTCGACAATCTGCATCACTTTTGCACCCATCTCCTGTAATGCACAATGAGATCGGGGGCATAGCTAGGATTTGTAAACAGTAATGATCATTTAATTTTTTTTGTTTTTGAAGAAAGCTTTGAATTAAAAAGGTATTTTTCATTTTCACAGGCAAAATATACCTCGCCTTTCTGATCCCGACCGGCTTACAAAACGTATGACAGATAATTTAAGGGACAATATGATCACCACTGGATGATATACTATACCTATTCGTCGACATTGACCGAAATTCCATTTTCCATTACGACATCTAAGAGGCCCGTACTTTTTATAGCAAGAATCGCAAGAATATACGGCTGTGCAGCGTTCACCTCGTTTGTCTTGCGAACATTTCACCTTATTAATTTTCCCATTAGGGACGAGTGGGGGCTCTCCGCAACTTTTGACCATTCGGGATGTAGTCGTAGGTTTTTTAGTGTTCGTCATTGTAAACGCAGTGTTGGTGACTTCAAAGAAATCAGTTCTCATATTAATAGGGATCGGAGATGTTGCATTATAAGACATTGTTTCGTTAAGAGAGTTTGTGTAATTTACAGTGGTTGTAAGGATATTGCTATTTGCTGTACTTATGTTAAGTGTAGGGCCGGGGTATGTTAAAGAAGGAACATTGGTTGCAGTAGTTGTAGTTAGTGAGGTGGTGTTACTTTTAGTGACATGGGTGATGATATTTGCAATTGTGTTACTTGTGGTTATCGGGAGGGTGTTACTTGTAGTTACTGAGCTGACGTTATTAGTAGTTATTGGGGTTGTGTTACTTGTAGTCACTGAGCTGACGTTATTTGTAGTTATTGGGGTTGTGTTACTTGTAGTTACTGAGCTGACGTTATTTGTAGTTATCGGGGTTGTGTTACTTGTAGTTACTGAGCTGACGTTATTTGTAGTTATTGGGGTTGTGTTACTTGTAGTTACTGAGCTGACGTTATTTGTAGTTATTGGGGTTGTGTTACTTGTAGTTACTGAGCTGACGTTATTTGTAGTTATTGGGGTTGTGTTACTTGTAGTTACTGAGCTGACGTTATTTGTAGTTATTGTGCTTGTGTTGCTTGTAGTTAATACAGCAGCATTGCTTGTAGTTATTGGTGTTGTGTTAATTATAGTTAATATCGTAGCGTTGCTTGTCGTTATTGGGGTTGTGTTACTTGTAGTTAATATTGCGGCTTTGCTTGTAGTTATTGGGGTTGTGGTACCTGTAGTTAATATTGCAGCTTTGCTTGAAGTTATTGGGGTTGTGTTACTGGTAGCTTTTTGGATTGTGTCATTTGAAGTTAATATTGTGTCATAGCTCGTAGTTATAGGGGTGCTGTTACTTGTAGCTATCGGGGTTGTGTTACTTGTAGTTAAAATAGTGGCGTTACTTATAGTTATTGGGGTGGTGTTATTTGTAGGTATGTGAGTCACGTTATGTGTAGTTAAAATGGTGGTGTTACTTGCAGGAAACGGGGTGGTGTAACTTGCATAGGTTTCTCTACGTTTCATTGCAGATGTCGTGTTATTTGCAGTAAATCTGTTGGTGGCATTTGTATTTTCAACAAAGGCTGTTGTTACAGGTGTGGTGTCGTTTGTAGTCACTTGAATGGCGTAACTTGAAGTGACAGGAGCAGTTTCAATTTTACTTATTCGGGTCGTGCTATTTGTACTTGTATTTTCAGTAGAGGTTTCACTTCTTGTTACTTGTGTGGCGTTGGATGTAATAAGAGGGGTGGGTTCACTTTCTTCTACAGGGGTTGTAGTCTCCTGGGAAGTTTTGCTTGTAGTTTCAGGGAGAGCGTCACTTGTATGAACTTGGTTAATGCTAGTTGTACCAAAGGAAGTGGTTTCGATTGTAGTGACATGGGTTGTTTTACCTGTAGTTTCAGGAATATTAAGAATATCAGTCTTTACAAGGCTGGAGTTAGATGAAGTTACGGGAGTGGTGTTACTTGAATTTATACGGGTGGTTTCAACTGGCGTTACAGAGGCAATGTTAGTTGTAGTTAAATGGATGGTTTCCCTTGGGGTTGTGCTAGTTGTACTTTGTAAAACCTGTAGCCTAAATGTTGTCTCTGTGAGGGTTATTTGTTTAGTTACTTGCTCAACATTTATGAATGGAGTGATATGAACTGTTTGTAAAGGTGTACCAAAAGTGTTAAGTGTTGGTTCAATCGGTGGATTCATAGCATGTGTTGCATGTCTTATTTCTGTTCTGTTAATTGTTTGTGTTATTGGAGTTTCTGTTGTGTCTACCCGTTTAGACGTTTCGGTAGAAAGTGTTTGTTCTACACGTTCATATTGAATTTCATTTTTGGTTGACCCCGGGCTTTGAGTGAGTGATGTTTGTTTAATATACTCATCACCCATAGAACCTATAGTTATTTCATCAATTAGTAAACTATTTAAAGCTGTGGTACCTGATAGAGCCTGTAGAAATTTGCTGTTAGTTGGCGTGCTAAACATCTGATCTAAAGCTGTGGTGTTTATAATTGGCGTGCTGGTTAGTTCGGGTGTAGTACTGTTTAGAGGATGGGTAAGTTTGCCATGCGGTGAGATTTCCATACTAGGAGTTGGCTGAATAGAAGTACTCTCATATATTATAGGGAGAGGTGTTATTTCCGGAATTTGTACACGGTCAGTAACTGTTACCAGTTTGTATTGCGTTTGTATTTTCGGTATTGAGCCATCTTCTTCTGCAAAGGTGGGTGTTGTCATAATGGTTTTTGAGATTGAAGAAGATACCATACTTGTCGATGTCAAAGATATTACTTGTGCTTGTTTGTCCATGTCTTCCTGTATTAGTGTGCTACTACCTAAAGTGCTAGATTTGGTCCTATCTATTCTACTCTCTAGAGAACTATATCTGGTTAATGTACTACTGTCAAATGCTTTAGTTGCTACGTTGGACAAGGAATACAAGTTATCTGTTACATGCATAGTTGTTACAGGTGAAAGTAAGGTTACATTAGAGTTTGATATACTTGTAGTATGGTTAATTACTAAGCCTATTCCCTGAATTAATGTATCATGCGTTGGTGCTTGTACTTTCGTTGGTGAGACTTCAGGTACTTCTCCCCTTTGCAAAATCGATGGTAACTCGGTTACACCTAGAGTCGTTTTCTTGACATATCCATCTATTGGATATTCATGAAAATCGTCATCTAGCAGTCTGTGGGTAGATTTAAAGGTCGGTGTTGTAATTATTGTAGATGATACATATGTACTTTTAATATCTTGAGAGGAAGGGGATTCAGGCGAAGATGACAGTGAGGTAGCCAATGATAGAGGCTCTGATTGGTCGGTGTACGCAGCATGTTTGTTCGAGTCGACCTGAACCGTAGTTTCAAATGCTTTGGAAGTAACCACAACTTCACTTGTAGGGTAATTTGTAGATATCACATTCGTTTTTGATGTAGTTGCCTGTTCTAACGTTCCAACTGACATAGTAACAGTAGATACTGGAGGAGAGATTGGCTCTGATGAAAACATCTCGTTAGTTGCTGTATGTAATCTCTCGGTTGAGATTTCTCTTTTTTCTTGAAAAGATTCATTTTCCTTTGTTTCTGTGGACTGTGGACATCCCTGTTGAGACGTACCATGAGTTGGCTCCGTTTTAGGTGGCTTGCAGAATTCTGCTGTACTGTTACAACCACAAGGGTTCGCTAAAATACGAACACAAATTATACATTTTCCTAGGCATATAATATTATGTGTAAGCAAGTATCTTATGTAGAAAGTGCTTCATTGTTAAGTTTTTCTTGGAGCTGAATTTTTAAAAGAAGTCGACTTCAATGAGAATTTTCAACGCCATGCTTGAACTCATACATGATCACCAAAAAGACCGTCGGGAAAGCTTGATACAATTGAAGCAGCTTGATCACTTGTAGAACTTGTAGCCTTGGGCTCGGAGGTACGACTCTTCCTTTTCCATGATTTCACGAGTTTAAGGAATCTTCACGACCTTTTTTACAAAAACGGTTGTCAGTATCATATGCTTCATAAAATCTAAGCGTTTGCGAAGGAAACAGTTCCAGAGACGCCAGAATGATCAAAACAAACCCTCACTATTGTTACGTACATGTAAATGAACGGTTAAAAAGAAAAGTCCAGATGTTCACGACTCTTCTAAACGTCTCATGAACCCTTCGTTCGCATTCGATTTTCTTAAACAGTTGATGTTGAAATACGTTTGTGCGAAAAACGTCGTGAATTTTCGTGCAGTCATTGAAAGGGAAATATCGTGCCTCTGATCTGAGGCTGCGCCATTTTGTCATCGAAACGGATCCGTTTTCTTATTCAGTTTCCATCCACCAAGGTAATGATGAACTATTTTCCTTATGTATGGCTATTTTACAATGTATGCTAATACAATGCGACGTGGACGATGACATATGGTTTTACCTTGTATGAAGTTATTCAGGAAATTAAAAACCGCTGGATGAGATATTTCACTGTGCATGCTATACTGCTCAACGGGGACAACCAAATTAGTGTCCAGCTTCTTCGTTGTGATAGCAATCTGACAATTTCCTCCGTTCTTGTCAACGACAATAACTGGGCCACCAGAATCACCAAAACCCGTCACTTGAGGGGTACATATATTAATTCTCAAAATGGCCGACGAGGCAGCATCACACGCTGCAGTATTAAGATATGTGTTGACTTCTTGAAGATATTTCGCCCCTTCCATAATCGATTGATTCATTTGTCCCCATCCGTATATTCGCACTGGTCGCCCATCTTCGATTCGCTCCTCAGTTATTGCAATTGGTTTTATGTTCTTTGCATCCTCTTCGATACATCTATCGAGGCGAAGGATACCAACGTCCCCTTGGGTCCTATCGAGCAGAATGGCTTTATTCCAGTCGTACGTAACAGTGTTTCTGCTAGTTCCAGCTCTGTGCCCTCCAGCAATAATCCTGCATATTTACAAAATAGATGAGTTGCCATATACAATGTTGTTGGATAAATAAGAGGGTAGTATTGTGGACGATATTCCTTCATGCTATTCGCCTGGAGAAATAATGCATTCGATTTTTAACAAGAATTTATTTGTCAAATATTTCCACTTGAAAAATATCCCATAACATTCGTTCGACTTCTTAAAAGAGGTCTCCTCCTTCGGGCGAAGTTTTATAACTAGACTCTGCGAGCATGGTACTTGAAAAACTAGTTGATTTATTAATTGACATGATTACTGTGGTTTAATCATAAAATGGCGAAACGTTACCTGGTACCGTTGCCAGGTTTTTTGCAATGCCATAAACGTTACCCGATGCCGTTGTTAGGTTTCATGCAATATCATAAACGTTATACCTGATGCCGTCGCCAGGTTTTTTACAATGCCATAAACGTTACCTGATGCCGTTGTTAGGTTTCATGCCGTGTCAAAACGTTACCTGGTACCGTTGCCAAGTTTTATGCAATGTCATAAACGTTACCCGATGCCGTTGTTAGGTTTCATGCAATATCATAAACGTTATACCTGATGCCGTCGCCAGGTTTTTTACAATGCCATAAACGTTACCTGATGCCGTTGTTAGGTTTCATGCCGTGTCAAAACGTTGCCTGGTACCGTTGCCAAGTTTTATGTAATGTCATAAACGTTACCCGATGCCGTTGTTAGGTTTCATGCAATATCATAAACGTTATACCTGATGCCGTTGTCAGGTTTAATGCAATGGCCAGCAGTGAGAACGTGGCATCGCGAGATGAGTGAACCAGTACACAGATGTTCACCGTTCCGTACTCTCACTACAAATGGATGACTGGTCGCCGTTTGACCTGCAAAGTACTTAGAGATGTCATGCATGCAATTATAGTACTATATAAAATGCTTTTTGAAAGCATCTTCAAGTGCAGTGTTGCTCATCACCGGATCCTAATATCATCTACTTATCACGATTTCAATTGACGTCACTAGTGAAATCTTGACGTCGGATCTCTATTCAATGCCCTCCCGCGGTAATATTCAATATCATTCACATTCATCTGGATTCTTATTGTTAGTTATTTGTATTTATTTGCTCTTCCGATGGTTTCCCATAGGTATGATGTTTAGACCATCATTTCCAAAGAGTCGTGTATCCTGTTGCAAGTAACTTATATTAGTTCCGCACTTCTCATCATACACGCGCAACTACCTTAAGTTCTTATCTAGGATCTAATTATCTTATCTTACCTCCGATGATTCTCTTAACTCTCGAATGCACTTTTACGGGAGGAGCCAACGTTAACCAGACACACGAGGTTAAGCATATGAAGATGATATATTGCAGAGACATCACAGGTCACATAGTGTCTCTATGTTATCTGAAAACGTTCATTTAATGTTGTATATAACATTAACATTGAAAGAAATTATATTTGAGTTGTCATAGTAAATAAAGTAATGTCATGTAAAGTATTATAACATTTTCTAAGAAAACTCGGACTTTTTATGTATTTTAAGTATTGTACACGCCGCATTTAATTACAAACACCTGTTTTGCAATCACGTTATCAAAAAAGTATATCCATATTTTGTAGAAACCAACGCTTTTTGACTTAAAAGGGCTCTCTTCAACAAATTGTCCATGTATATTCCTCTCAGATTGGTTAGGTTCCATGGCTATGCCCTGACTGCACATACCTACTCAAATTATTTAGTGTGAACCCTCCGGGATATTCCAAGTTGCAGTTTTTCCGCTCCCCTTTTATCCATATCCTTTCAATTTCCATTGCCCAAAATGACCAGGTGCACCGAAATAACGAATATTTTAACTACACACCAAATTATCCGGATAGCTATCGAAGTTTTTATGCCATAACCTAGCCAATGTTAGGTTATATATAAATTATACTTTAAAAAATACTGTAATATGTAAGTTCACTAATATCCCTAAATTGGACATCGGTTGGTAAAACCGCAAAAATCTGATGAGAAAAGTTCTAGCCACTTACATACCTGTTATTCACATTCACGCGTTCTCATCGTACTCAATATCCCGAGTTTTGAACCATGGTATTGATTTATAGGTGGATTTTGAAATGCACCTCCATTCCCTGAAGCGAAAAAGTTAAATCATTTACCAAACATCGCCAAATTCTATTAACAAAATAAAATAGTTTCAATATAAAGGTATACTTACATTTAAGCTGTATCTCATAAATGACGGATGATCGCTCTGATCGTTTTTTCATTTGTGATGCTATCCCGTCATGTTTAACAAGATGAACGACAAATAATGACACTTTCGCGAACAGACACCTCCTAACATGTTTGTATCCCGTAATAAAAACACAGCAATCCATCTTGCGGTTCATTTATTTTATGACATCTTAGATTATAAAATTTGTTAAAATTGTTTAACATACAAAACGCTACAGTGTCAGAGTGTCTACCCAGGGACATCAATTACCGGCCGAGATTTAAGGATAAACCACCAGTACTGTAGCGTAATGACTTTAAAAGTCAACGATCTCTAGTTCAGTCAGTGCTCTTTATCGTAAATACATACAAGTTAAATAGTTTTATCAAGAATGAACATCAAACCGTCTCTCTTTTATAATCCCGGTGTACCCTGACGGAGTTTATACTGCATCCTGACATAATGTTTGTGTACCCAGACATCGTCTGTGTACTCTGACGGAGTTAATACTGCACTCTGACATAATGTTTGTGTACCCAGACATCGTCTGTGTACTCTGACGGAGTTAATACTGCATCCTGACATAATGTTTGTGTACCCAGACATCGTCTGTGTACTCTGACGGAGTTAATACTGCACTCTGACATAATGTTTGTGTACCCAGACATCGTCTGTGTACTCTGACGGAGTTAATACTGCATCCTGACATAATGTTTGTGTACCCAGACATCGTCTGTGTACTCTGACGGAGTTAATACTGCACTCTGACATAATGTTTGTGTACCCAGACATCGTCTGTGTACTCTGACGGAGTTAATACTGCACTCTGACATAATGTTTGTGTACCCAGACATCGTCTGTGTACTCTGACGGAGTTAATACTGCATCCTGACATAATGTTTGTGTACCCAGACATCGTCTGTGTACTCTGACGGAGTTAATACTGCACTCTGACATAATGTTTGTGTACCCAGACATCGTCTGTGTACTCTGACGGAGTTAATACTGCACTCTGACATAATGTTTGTGTACCCAGACATCGTCTGTGTACTCTGACGGAGTTAATACTGCATCCTGACATAATGTTTGTGTACCCAGACATCGTCTGTGTACTCTGACGGAGTTAATACTGCACTCTGACATAATGTTTGTGTACCCAGACATCGTCTGTGTACTCTGACGGAGTTAATACTGCACTCTGACATAATGTTTGTGTACCCAGACATCGTCTGTGTACTCTGACGGAGTTAATACTGCACTCTGACATAATATACCTGTACTCTGACATAGAGATGGTAGTCTCTGTGTAGCCTAACATAGTATATATGTGTCCTGACATAACATCTCTGGACCCTGAAAATAGTCTCTGTGTATCATGGCATAGTCTCTGTGTAACCTAACATAGTACTATATATGTGACCTAACATAATATATCTGGACACAGAAAATAGTCTCTGTGTATCCTGACATAGTTTCTGTGTAGCGTAACATTGTATATACGTGGCCTAACATAATTTCCCTGAACCTGACAAAGTATTTTTAGTCTTTATGAAGACTGTATAGTTTTAGGTACTTTAAACTTGTAATACATGTATTTTCAGATCTTGTCTTCGATGTAATAAAGCAGTTATGTAATTGGCCCCGATCTGTCTGCCCGCCGTGTGGAACGGGAGAGACTCCAGAAGAACCCTGTCCTCAACCCACAGGCAAACCCACAGATGCACCGACTGTTGCACCGACAAATGCAACCACTGTTGCATCAACTATTGCACCAACATTTGCACCTATTACAGGAATCGGCTCATGCATCGATTGTGCAAATCAACCTGATGGACTATGCGAGGTCGTCAACTGTAACCAAAAACGTGAATGCCTCAGTGGTTTGATTATAACTACGACTTGTAACGAAAATCTTGTCGTAGATTCAGATGACGATTTTAATTGCAATTTGTGAGTATGCTCTTTCTGAAGTCTAAACGATATACACGTATGCATTTAATAGTATAAACCCTCTACTAAAAAGTCTTGAAATTTTATTACTTAAGCAATTAACTACAGGGTGTATCAAAAATGCAACAAGTAGTTATCTCGTAAAATCACAAAACTAGTGATGACTACATCAATTTCATTCAATGTACCATAAAGCCACGTCTCTCTTCTTTGCAATGATATGTCATTCATTCACATGTGGTAATGGTTGGGTGAGAAATCCTTCCATTACACTGTGGGTCAAAATCGGCTCTGTACCAAGTTTTAGATATTGAAAAAATGCAGGGGCGAAGTGCACATGGAAGTTCCCCTGACTTGAATTGTTGTGACTTTTTCTTTTGGAGCTATCTCAGGAGCATCTGTGCTCACAATTCCTCCACCAGATATCGCAAAACCTTGAGAAAGAATTGCCCACGGGCTGGTTTTCTCTACTTTTACCCACAGATGACTCAGGGCTGAGCCATGCACGACGTGGACAGAGTAGCGCATCTTTATGTGCAAGGAAGTGGTGGCAATTTGGAGGGGTATAGGATGTATTCTTGCAAGAGTATGAGTATGAACACTTTACTGTCTATGTCACACCTGTCACACCTTCTTCCAATGGCCCCTATGCCCATTGTACTGACTTTTGCAATGTTTAAAACTTGGGTCCAAGCTGAATTTTGCCTCACTTAGCAAAATTAATGATTATTCGGCCAGAGATGACTCCCTGTGAATGAATGATATTCCATTGCAAAGAGGAGTAATTTGACTTTTTGGTACATTGAATGAAAAGGATGCAGTCAGCATTGGTTTTATGTTTTCTTCCAATATTGCATCGGGCTACGAACACTGACTTTTGCGATGTTTATAACTTGGCCCCAAGCTAATTTTGGGCCACTTTTTGAATGGAACGATTACTCGCTCAACCATGACCAAATATCAATGAATGATATATCATTGTAAAGAGGAGACACGTGGCTTTATGGTGCATTGAATGAAATCAATGCTGTTATCACTGGTTTTGTGTTTTTCCGAGATAACAATCTGTTGCGTTTTTTGATACGCACTGTATAAATATATTTAAAGTATTGCACAAATAGGATTTGATGATTTTGTTTTGATTTTAGCCTCATTAAAAGTTCCCCGGTGGGGAAAAACTCATACTCTTGCAAAGCTCATAAAATAAAACCATGCAGTGAAATTCCTTCAAACTTTACAAAGTGAACAACAAATGTTCAAAGCTCATCCATCCACTTGTTATGTGATAGTTTATTATGAAATAAATGGCCATATGATATTATTCATGCCAAAAGAAATCAATTATCATTAGTGAATTATTTATGCAACGAGCAGGTATAGCGAAGTTATAACACATTCCAAATACCATTTGGGGCATAGATGTGAATGTACCATTTCCTATCAATTTATCAAGTTTTTGTTAGTAAAAGTAAAAAGTAAAAAAGATTGATCTCCGTTATACTATATACATGTGTCATTTTCATTTCAGAATACCTGAAGTTTGTCCACCGTGTGGTACAAAGCCGAACTGTTAAAATAGAACATTATCAATGCTGTAATGCTGATGTTTACTGGTAGCCGTTATAAACCTTCATTGTACATAATTATCAAGGTTGAGTTTGAGACAAGAGCACAAGAGATACACATAGGCCGGTGGGAAGATGTGAACTATCCAATACAAGTTACAACATTGGATGTCAAATGGATTTTACTTTTTGTGGGCAGTATTAGAGACTACGCAATAGTGTATAGTAGTGTAGTGTATTAGCCAGCTAATTCCGTTTCATTGACACACCGATCGATTTTAAAAGAAATAGACTTTTAATTTTGAAAAACCAATAATTGTCAATTACATTATTCAGGAGCAAGTATGGGTCAACTTGATTTGATATTGTAGCACCCCAGGGGCAGTGTGCTCTTTAATTACTGATAGATGTTGGTAGCGTAGCGAATAAAATAGCACAACCTGACTCCCGGGGGCGTTACGGGTAATCCCCAGATGGCGCTCCCTCTCTGAAGCCGTCAAATGGGAAAAAAGCGAACAGAATTGTCATTTTCTATAGATGGCATATTCAACAAGTGAGATATTTTAAATTTTCGTGGGGAGTTTTGATTCAGACTTTGATTTTGCTGACTGACCGATGACATACTTGGGCATGATAGTGAAACATATACATGGTCACAAATCTTACATTCATTTTCTCTAAAATACAGATCATCTTTAAGGGAAAACGAATGTTATACATGTATTATTTGGTTGTGTTACCCATCCCTAAGGTGTTTTTAAATTATTTTTATATTAAAAGATGACGTGTTTGGTTGACAAATAGACTAACTATGGCAAGAGGAGGAATGCCCCAGACCTTTAGAGATGACAGACATAATTACGTCTCTTACTTGCCATCTTCGTTTGTTAGAATTTTCACAAGCAAGTTTACAAATACAATGTTCAATTCGTTGTCATGTTTTAATCGATGTTAGCATATACAACATCTTCATGTAACAAAACAAGCCGTGATATCAATAACATGCCAGATATTAACATGATATTATTCGAAGATGCTTAGAAAATGTTGAAAGCACCATTTTCTGTTGATTTGGCCAATCAGCGACGGCGTCATCTCAAAACAGATTTTATAACCACTTGGAAATCGAAGATGCAATGGAACACAATTTACAATTTTTTCACTTCTAATTATCAGGGACTTAGTAAAGTATTATTTTGTCATATTTTCCATGTCAATAAGCTTTAGCACCCCTCCCTATCTCATATAGAGTAATAGTTATTCAAATTTAAATATATGCAGTAAAAGAAAATGTTATATGTCCAATACAAGAAGAGATATTTCACTTTTTGTGATTTTGTAACATAGGGTCTATGGGGAATCAATCAAAAAAAATAAAGTTTCAAAGTTGATAAACAATTTTCAAAACCAAAGGAGTGGTATCGATATGGAGAACTTTTTGAACACACGTTTCTCTTAAACCAGTCATAAAAAATCTAAAAATTTAACACATCGTCAATTTAATGGTCATCTTTTCAATGGTAACAATATAATTTGAAAAATATATACATACTTTTATCTATATTGTTTTAGAAAACACATCAAACACTTGTTTTGTTCTTGGTATCATGTTTCCAGAGTGAAATGAAACATCTTTCCGAACCTCATTGGAACAAAACGACATAAACACAACATGTTTAGGTCTCTCAATATTGTAATTGTACAAAGGAAATTTTGGTTGATTTTAAAAAAGTATCTTGTTAATGAAATAAAAGGTTTATCTTGATATTTATCTATTTTGGGGGATTTTGTTTTAATTTTTTGAATACTTTTTTAAATCAACCAAAAATTCCTTTGTATTACTATAATATTGAGATCTAGATTCTAGAGGTCTAAAAACATGTTGTATATGCTATCTTGTTCCAACAATTTGGTTCGGAAAGACATTCTATTTATTTCTCAAGAATTGGTAGAAAGGAGCAAAAACAATTGCACTAAGAAAACAAAAAATGTTAACAAAAACAGTTATATAAAATATTTATAAATAATTTTCGCATTAAACTGTTGTCAATCAGTCAACATTACATAAAATACCGTGTTTTTTTACAAAATGTTTTCAATGATTGGTTTAAGAGAAAAACATTGTTGAATTCAGTTCTCCATATCAATACCACTCCTTTCTAGATGTACTTTTACATGTAGATTTCAAATATGACATCACTTTGACTGACTTTTGAATATTTAATGGCGTTAATCAAGATTATTTCTACTCGCATCTAGTCGATTCACTTGTTTTTCATATTCAGTTTTCAGGGTTTTGGAGTGAGGTCCAGTTAATTAACTATCTATTGCAGCTCTTCAAGAAATTGGTTAATTAAGAACAACTTAACTCTGCTGTTAATACAAAAAAAACATTTTTTAGATCATACTGTTATTTATTACTGGACTTATTAAGATTACAAGCAAAAAAACATGAGCATCAATTTTCAGAAAATTTAGATTCAAAAGCATGAGGTACAGTGAATTTTAGATAGTAAGATTTCATAAACATATATTGTTTCTATTGAAGATGTTGCAATTAACAAATAACAAGTTATGTTCCAATGTTTAGAGGTTCAAGATGCACAAATCCAATCGAACAGCTTGTTATTCAATTTAACGGTAAGATGAACATGTCCACTTGAAAGCAGTTCGCTTATTTGTACCAATATTGTTGTGGTTTTATACACTATGACCTTTCCAGTCAATGTTACTTGGAAAAGTAATCAGTATACATGTACTCATGTAAATTCAGTCAAAATTCACTAATAACTCAACCCATCACATTATACAATACACAGACCGCATATGGGGGTGAAATGTCTAGGGGGTGAAATGTCTAAGGGATGAAACATCTAGGGGTGAAACGTCTAAGGGATGAAAAGTCTAGGGGTGAAATGTCTAGGGGGTGAAACATCCAGGGGGTAAAACGTCCAGGGGGTGAACCATCTAGGGGGTGAAATGTCCAGGGGGTGAAACGTCTAAGGGGTGAACAGTCTAGGGGTGAAACGTCCAGGGGGTGAAACGTATTGATACCACCACCATATAAAATAGTTAAAAGTGGCTAATAATAAACTATTATATGTAGTTTGTAGATCGTTTTCAAAGTATAAATTATATCGCTTCTTAAGTGTTTTAATATGATCGCCACATATTGTTATATTATCCAAGTTTTTGTGGATTGTGTTTGGTGGTTGGTGCTTGGCAGTTGGTGGTCACTGGGTGGCATTCCACGATCAGCGTACGAAAACTTGAATGACAGGTGGAGTTTAGGCATAAAGGACGGGTGTCTTTAAGACCCTATATTAGCCCCCAAATATTTAGAAGAAATTGTACAGGAGATCAAAGAAGGGACTTTGTTTGATAACCAGGCTCAAAAATTAGGTCATTCTAACCTTTATATTTCAAAATATAGGTCATTCTATTAACATGTATAAAATGACCTTTTGAAGGAAAAATCACTCTTTTCACATCATTATTGTCACTCTTTTTATCTATTATCAAAATAATCATTATTTACAGTCATTTGGGACTTCTTAATTGATCCTCTTATCTTACGTAATAGTGACAAAGCATAATGGGCAACATTCGAAAACACATAAAATATAACAAGTCGAAATGCAACAAAATATTGAATATTATTATTATTACTTTATTTACCTGTAGTTAAACAGAGTAGTACTTTTTACAAACATATTTACATGTACATGTAATTAATACAGTGATATATCATCGACGAAATCGGTGTAAACCGAGATGTGCAAAGAAATTGTTATTTACATTGTAAGATGATCTTCTTTATACTTTATTGAGATCAATTGTCTACAAAAATGTTTGCAAAAATGTGTCAGAAAAGAATATTGAGTTTTTTAATTTACATCACAATGAGAAAGAACAAGAGGCAAAATTAAAAAACACATGGAGTAATTAACAAGTCAAAAATGCATATCAATCAATTATATTATTGATCTTGAGAGCAATTGCTCATAAATACAGTTTGCATTAAAGTGGCAGTGAAATACTGAATTTATTATTTCACATAAAATATAACAATTTCTAAAATGTTACCCTGGACTTTACATGTTTCCTTTTAAACAATGATGGTATATTTCCCATCTTCTTGAAGATTGTCGTCTGTGTATACAGTTCCCTTTGCTTTGGGCATGTTATTAGCAAATTCCTGACTACTGATTCTGATTTAAAGTATATTTCTTCTGTACAATTAAGTTGGGCTGGATTTCTAAATATGAACATTGGTATGATCAGCCAGTGAACTGTGATAATATAATAAAATTATTCATTGACAAAAATGACGCCTGTGATGTGAAGATTAAATAATGGTACAACAATCTTCTCAATTTTGCATATACATTTATATGAATGTGTAGAAAGGAATTACATGTTATTATGTTGTTTAGAGCCATGGTAAAAATAGATGCTTCTCTAGAGGTCATGCTTCAGTGCAAGCATACATATTAGTTCATGAAATGATAATATGAAATAAGAAGATATACTTGAATATATAAAACAAAATTGTCACAATCATTCTAAGGATTTTCAAAATGGCTGACATCATTTTATTTCATGCTGAAAATTGCATAAAGTTCCTTTTTGGCACAACGCCTGGTCCTTACCTAGATTTTTAGTTATCTCAAAAAGTACCTTAGAAGTACTATTCCTTTACTACATATAACTTTCTAGGTAAGAATCAGGCGTTATATGAACAAAGTAAAAGTTTTTCATGACCTTCCGCTCTCTAAAAATAAGTAGGTCAACACAGTTGCAAACATAACTAACCCCTACTCATTGACTAATGAAATAGGGACTATTTATGTATACAAAATATTAATCCAATGTGAGTGTAGAGTGACACAATCAAACAATGGGACATTTGCCAAGTTGGGTTTATACATTCTGGTGACATTTTCTGAGACCGATAAAAAATTCTCATTTTCACAAGAAGTGATACGTACCTCCCAAATCAACCAAAATATACTTATATCAGTGGTCTTGAATGTTTTTATCGCTATTTCTTATAAATATACATATTTATCTACAATTTGATCCTACATATCAAGGAAATTAATGACATGGCATTTTTCAAAAAATGTTAAGTGACCCCAGGGGTGTCTATAGCCATTCGTTCTTTTTCACACATTGCTAATTGTTTGGTCCATCTATAAGTGTGCTATTGAATAGTTTCGAACAAACTTCAAATTCAGACTCTGAAATAAGGAAATATGCTGAATCAGCATTTTCTAGCCTGAGCCGTCATCCGTAAGATTAAATTACAATGTAACATAAGGATTTCATGATACTGATACTAATGTACAAAATATAATTGATATTACCCGTGCTTTAAATTTGCCATTGATTTCTTCTCGCCCAAAATAGTTCTACAACTTCTTACAGGGGGTTAAAAATGTTTTAAAGGTTTCACAGATCCGCCAAAAAGTTAGATTTTGAAACTTATGGCTCTCAAACAGGGAAGTGAACAGCTGATTAATAGTGACCTTTGAAATCGAATTAAGTCGATCCGCGGCTTACTTTTGGTCTCTAACTAAATCTTACATCAGTATCATCAATCCGTGTAAGTATTGGAGCGCTGAAGTACTTCCTTTTCGATCAAGACTTGTAATTGTTAGTCGAGTGAATATTCTATCAAGGATGCTACATCTACAGGGTGCCAAATATGTTCCCCATTGATTTCAAGAGTAAAGACGTTTGTGCAAAAACGTGCACAACATTGAGCTAGTCATCTGAAACTTCTTACTCCATGAAGCCAAGTTTTTAGGTGCTAACGAACAATTCAGACATCATGCAGACAAAAGGTTATGTAACTTTTTGTCCGATGTTAAAGTTGAGGGGGGAAAACGTATTTATTGGACACTCTGTACATTGTTCATCCTTGGTTCTTGTTGGTATAGGGCAGTGTCCATAATTGATAAAAATTGATAACGGAATGGATTTTAGGCATTTTTAAGTTTTAAGGCTGCTGGTGTTTTGTTGCAGGACATATTTTAAAAAATTACTTGGATTCCAAGCAAGCGTCGGTGTGACTGATTACTCATTTTGTTCGAACATCGGTTCAATTTTGCATATTTTTGAATAAAGATAACAATTGCTAGAGTACACAATAATATAATATTTAATGAAATCCATCATTCATGTCATTTTCAAACACTATCGGATTGTGGGTTTGGCATGTAATTTATCATGGGATTTATTTCTCATAAATTGATTTTAAATAAACGCGCTCCATATAAAATTACTCATTTTATTCATTTATGGTTTAAGGAATACATCTATATAGTGCCCATTTTGATTCAATAATCAATATAGATAATGCACATATTCATAACTTTTTGCATTTGTACATTCACATCGAAACATTAAGGAAGAAGAGCACACATGGAGGCTGTAGCATTAAATAAAATTTATGAACATAGTAATACACATATAGTTATATATTTTAATTGCAAAACAAGCATGAATATGATGTAACAAGTCCTATGTATCAAGTCACGTGGTTGATTTATGCCGTCTGCTACAGAGGTCAATGTGTAAGATATATTGACCGGATATATTAACTGGATTTAGCATGTCGAATATTGATACAAATTAAATTCTATAGTTTTAGATAGTCTGCATGAACACGATCATCCTTTTGTCAATTGAAGCAGTGCATGGCAAGATAGTATGTAAAATAGATGCTGCAGACATGTAGCACAAATGTTCTCAAGTCCAAGGTAAGAGGAAAGAGCCTGAAAATAAAAAGGAAAACAATCAGCAATAATTTAATTTTTGATTGCTCTATTTTTCAATTCGTTCTTCAATATGTAAAATCACTTTTGTATAAATTTACATGAAATCCCCTTGATGTTTTGGTACTAAAGAAGCAAGCCAAATGTCCTGTTTAAGAACCCCTATTACTATTGAAAATGGATTCTAGCAATTCTCTCCCACGTGAATCTACTTGTTTAGACTCGATCAACTTGAGTTCTTCTGAGCAATGAAAATTTCAGCAAGGGCACCAGTGACTTAACATGGGGATGTTTAATTTTCAATAAATAGAATAGGGGTTCTTAAACAAGATATTAAAGCTGAAGTAAGACCTATTTGGAATTATTGGCGAGAACTACAAGGAGAGGTTTACACTTCTATTCGCTAGTTTTAGTACTGAATCCTAGTGCCCAATGTGCAGTAGGTATGATTATTCAGCCAAGCATGACAGGCCACATGTAGAATAAAGAAACATGGCTACATGGTACATTTGTACATTCAATGAAATCAAGGAAGTAATCATTCAATGTAAAAATGTTTACCAAACATACAATCATGTGCCAACAATGGAATTAGAATCTTAACAATTGAAAAATGTGTCGTTGTGGAATAACCGTACTGAACCAGAGAGCAAAATCATCAAATGATAGAACTGATTATGTGTTACAGTACCTTTAACAAGATGGTATGTAGATATAAATGCTGCAGATAGGTAGCACAAATTGTAGATTCTCTGTGGTTTTCCTTTTGTTGTTCTTTTTGTTCTCTCCAAGGCAAGAGGTATGTGGATAAAAATGCTGCAGATACATGTAGGTAGCACCAATTGTAGATTCTCTGTGGTTTTCCATTTGTGGTTCTTTTTGTTCTCTCCAAGGCAAAAAGACTGCACCTGGAAGTACATTTAAGGAAAAGATCAGCGATGGTTCAATTAAAAAGAAAGAAACCCCCGAAACTAAGCCCACAATTTTAACACGAAAACCCAAAAGAAAAGACCCTTCAATCTACAACTGTAGCTAAAATGAACACAAGACTTCAGACCTTCAAAATTTAGATCTGGAGTAGTACTTGAAGTCAACTTTAAAATTGAATCATTACTGAGTAAGTATTGGTCAACGAAATACAATACAATACAAAACAATACAATACAATACAAAACTATACAATACAATTCAATACAATACAATACTAAGCACTAGATCCATGATCTTGGCCATCTGGTTCGTTGGTTGTCTGGTTCGTTGGTTGTTTGGTTCGTTGGGTGGAGTGTTGGTTAGTTGGTTGATTAATTAGTTAATTGGTTGGTTAGTTTTAACCTATTGGGTGGTCTGGTGGTTGTCTGGTTGGTTAGTTGGTTGGTTAGTAAGTAAGTTGGTTGATTAGAATAAGCCTATTGGGTCATTGGTTGGTCGGTAGGATGTCAGGTAGGTTGGTTGGTTGTCTGGTTGTTTGACACCCCCCCCCCCCCCCCAAGAAAAAATAACTGGAGTGATGACTTCCCAAAAACTTGAATTAAACAACCACGTCCACAATCAAAAGACCCACATCGCTCCATCAAATCCAACTCAATAAAAAGGTGACTTGAGACCCCCCCCCCCCATGAAATTAAACTGGAACGGTACTGGAAGTTGCCCCCCACCACACACAGACTATGGAGTGAATACCTTCCCAAAAAACTTGAATTAAGCAACCCAAGCTAAAACTATAAGTCCACAGCTCAAACTAAATAAAAAAGTGAAGTGACTTGAGGCCTCCCCCATTTAAAGTAGAACTGAAATAGTACTGAGAGTAGCCCCCTGCTAATGGGATGCAACTGATTGCAAGAGATATAAAACTGGTCAAAATGCAACATCTACGGTAAGTCCTGGAAACTCGACCCTCGTGGACAAAAATGTGATTACAACAGGACCGTCTTTTCACAGGGACTTCACCATCTGTGCTACAAATAGATAAAAACATGTTGTAGTAGTTGTTACTTTACATAAAACTTTACATAAAAACTTTAAATAAAACTTTACATTATACTTTACACTACACTAAAAATTTACAGAATATTACAAAAGTTAAAATTTATTTCTCCCAATTTGATATAAACCAGTAGACTTCCATATTTCTGATTTTGAAACATGAACTCTATCCCCCCGGAAACCCAACCACCCACCCTCCCACTTTACCTTAGAGTCCAATTTCCTCCATCAGAAATATGGGTCGGCCAACAAAAGTTCACGAGTAAATATCAAACTGGAAGGCGCCCCCCTATCCCTATGCAAAACCAGGAAGGAATACTTAACTTAGGTAGCAGGAACGTCGGTTGTAGTCCTAGTTGGCACGCAGCTGTTGTCTCTGTTGTGTCTTGGTCATCGGGCTGCTCATCTCCAAGCTGAAAGTGAACCTGAAAACAGAGGAACTAAACTGATGTAATAATTGAATAAAAAAAATGTACTTACTTTGGTGCTTTGGTGACAGGAACACGAACACCTCTCGCCCATGATACTGTTTACGTGGACTGGACCTGATGGCTCAAAGTTACATGTATCACAAAACTGATCCAGCTGTCGCCCTAACTTGGTGTGTTCGCTGCATCTCTCTCATAGTTGTACCTAAAAGATACAAGATAAGAAAATGAAAAATACAAGGATGCAACTTGGTCGAGTCACCCCAATACAAGCGGAGGAGGGAATACCAAGACGTTCCTCTCATTGACTCTAGTAAATCTGTCATAGCCTTGTACCCCTCCTGGCTCAAGATTTACATCATCAAGTCAACTAACTGCTTGGGCAGATGTAACTCTGTAGGAAGAATGGAATAGTGGAGTATATGTATATTCTTTAAGAATAAATTGAAATGTGGTGTTTCGTTTTTCAAAGCAGTTGCCATCTTGATTTGGCCCAATGTGAAGTAGGAATGATTCAGGCAGCTATCACAGACCACATGTGAAAATAATGGAACATGGCTTCATGGTACATTTGTACATTAAGTGAAATCAAGGCAGTCATCATTGAGTGTATTTCTTAGAAAAAATGTTTGCCAAACATACATGTGCCAGCAATGGGATTAGAATCCCAACAAGTGAAAAATGTGTCGTTGTTGAATAACCGTACTGAACCAGAGAGCAAAATCATCAAATGATAGAACTGATTATGTGTACAGTACCTTTAACAAGATGGTATGTAGATATAAATGCTGCAATAGGTAGCACAAATTGTAGATTCTCTGTGGTTTTCCTTTCGTGTTTCTTTTTGTTCTCTCCAAGGCAAGAGGTATGTAGATAAAAATGCTGCAGATACATGTAGGTAGCACCAATTGTAGATTCACTGTGGTTTTCCATTTGTGGTTCTTTTTGTTCTCTCCAAGGCAAAAAGACTGCACCTGAAAGTACATTTAAGGAAAAGATCAGCGATGGTTCAATTAAAAAGAAAGAAAACCCCGAAACTAAGCCCACAATTTTAACACAAAAACCCAAAAGAAAAGACCCTTCAATCTACAACTGTAGCTAAAATGAACACAAGACTTCAGACCTTCAAAATTTAGATCTGGAGTAGTACTTGAAGTCAACTTTAAAATTGAATCATTACTGAGTAAGTATTGGTCAACGAAATACAATACAATACAAAACAATACAATACAAAACAATACAAAACAATACAATACAATACAATACAATACAATACAATTCAATACAATACAATACTAAGCACTAGATCCATGATCTTGGCCATCTGGTTCGTTGGTTGTCTGGTTCGTTGGTTGTTTGGTTCGTTGGGTGGAGTGTTGGTTAGTTGGTTGATTAATTAGTTAATTGGTTGGTTAGTTTTAACCTATTGGGTGGTCTGGTGGTTGTCTGGTTGGTTAGTTGGTTGGTTAGTAAGTAAGTTGGTTGATTAGAATAAGCCGATTAGTTCATTGGTTGGTCGGTTGGATGTCAGGTAGGTTGGTTGGTTGTCTGGTTGTTTGACACCCCCCCCCCCCCCCCCAAGAAAAAATAACTGGAGTGATGACTTCCCAAAAACTTGAATTAAACAACCACGTCCACAATCAAAAGACCCACATCGATCCATCAAATCCAACTCAATAAAAAGGTGACTTGAGACCCCCCCATGAAATTAAACTGGAATGGTACTGGAAGTAGCCCCCCACCACACACAGACTATGGAGTGAATACCTTCCCAAAACTTGAATCAAGCAACCCAAGCTAAAATCTATAAGACCACAGCTCAAACTAAATAAAAAAGTGAAGTGACTTGAGGCCTCCCCCATTAAAAGTAGAACTGAAATAGTACTGGGAGTAGCCCCCTGCTAATGGGATGCAACTGATTGCAAGAGATAAAACTGGTCAAAATGCAACATCTACGGTAAGTCCTGGAAACTCGACCCTCATGGAGAAAAATGTGATTTCAACAGGACCGTCTTTTCGCAGGGACTTCACCATCTGTGCTACAAATAGATAAAAACATGTTGTAGTGTAGTTGTTATTTTACATAAAACTTTACATAAAAACTTTAAATAAAACTTTACATTATACTTTACACTACATTAAAAATTTACAGAATATTACAAAAGTTAAAATTTATTTCTCCCAATTTGATAAAAACAAGTATTCTTCCATATTTCTGATTTTGAAACATGAACTCTATCCCCCCGGAAACCCAACCACCCACCCTCCCACTTTACCTTAGAGTCCAAGTTCCTCCACCAGAAATATGGGTCGGCCAACAAAAGTCCACGAGTAAATATCAAACTGGGAGGCGCCCCCCTATCCCTATGCAAAACCAGGAAGGAATACTTAACTTAGGTAGCAGGAAAGTCGGTTGTAGTCCTAGTTGGCACGCAGCTGTTGTCTCCGTTGTGTCTTGGTCATCGGGCTCCTCATCTCCAAGCTGAAAGTGAACCTGAAAACAGAGGAACTAAACTGATGTAATAATTGAATAAAAAAAATGTACTTACTTTGGTGCTTTGGTGACAGGAACACGAACACCTCTCGCCCATGATACTGTTTACGTGGACTGGACCCGATGGCTTAAAGTTGTCGCAAAACTGATCCAGCTGTTGCCCTTACTTGGTGTGTTCGCTGCATCTCTCTCATAGTTGTACCTGAAAGATACAAGATAAGAAAATGAAAAATACAAGGATGCAACTTGGTTGAGTCACCCCAATACAAGCGGAGGAGGGAATACCAAGACATTCCTCTCATTGACTCTAGTAAATCTGTTATAGCTTTGTACCCCTCCTGGCTCAAGATTTACATCATCAAGTCAACTAACTGCTTGGGCAGATGTAACTCTGTAGGAAAATGGAATAGTGGAGTATATGTATATTCTTTAAGAATAAATTGAAATGTGGTGTTTCGTTTTTCAAAGCAGTTGCCATCTTGATTTGGCCCAATGTGAAGTAGGAATGATTCAGGCAGCTATCACAGACCACATGTGAAAATAATGAAACATGGCTTCATGGTACATTTGTACATTAAGTGAAATCAAGGCAGTCATCATTGAGTGTATTTCTTAGAAAATATGTTTGCCAAACATACATTTGCCAGCAATGGGATTAGAATCCCAACAAGTGAAATATGTGTCGTTGAATATCCGTACTGTACCAGAGAGCAAAATCATCAAATAATAGAACTGATTATGTGTACAGTACCTTTAACAAGATGGTATTTAGATATAAATGCTGCAGATAGGTAGCACAAATTGTAGATTCTCTGTGGTTTTCCTTTCGTGTTTCTTTTTGTTCTCTCCAAGGCAAGAGGTATGTAGATAAAAATGCTGCAGATACATGTAGGTAGCACCAATTGTAGATTCTCTGTGGTTTTCCATTTGTGGTTCTTTTTGTTCTCTCCAAGGAAAAAAGACTGCACCTGGAAGTACATTTAAGGAAAAGATCAGCGATGGTTCAATTAAAAAGAAAGAAACCCCCGAAACTAAGCCCACAATTTTAACACGAAAACCCAAAAGAGAAGACCCTTCAATCTACAACTGTAGCTAAAATGAACACAAGACTTCAGACCTTCAAAATTTAGATCTGGAGTAGTACTTGAAGTCAACTTTAAAATTGAATCATTACTGAGTAAGTATTGGTCAACGAAATACAATACAATACAAAACAATACAAAACTATACAATACAATACAATTCAATACAATACAATACTAAGCACTAGATCCATGATCTTGGCCATCTGGTTCGTTGGTTGTCTGGTTCGTTGGTCGTTTTGTTCGTTGGGTGGAGTGTTGGTTAGTTGGTTGATTAATTAGTTAATTGGTTGGTTAGTTTTAACCTATTGGGTGGTCTGGTGGTTGTCTGGTTGGTTAGTTGGTTGGTTAGTAAGTAAGTTGGTTGATTAGAATAAGCCTATTGGGTCATTGGTTGGTCGGTTGGATGTCAGGTAGGTTGGTTGGTTGTCTGGTTGTTTGACACCCCCCCCCCCCCCCCAAGAAAAAATAACTGGAGTGATGACTTCCCAAAAACCACGTCCACAATCAAAAGACCCACATCGATCCATCAAATCCAACTCAATAAAAAGGTGACTTGAGACCCCCCCCCCATGAAATTAAACTGGAACGGTACTGGAAGTAGCCCCCCACCACACACAGACTATGGAGTGAATACCTTCCCAAAACTTGAATTAAGTAACCCAAGCTAAAATCTATAAGACCACAGCTCAACTAAATAAAAAGTGAAGTGACTTGAAGCCTCCCCAATTAAAAGTAGAACTGAAATAGTACTGGGAGTAGCCCCTGCTAATGGGATGCAACTGATTGCAAGAGATAAAACTGGTCAAAATGCAACATCTACGGTAAGTCCTGGAAACTCGACCCTCATGGAGAAAAATGTGATTTCAACAGGACCGTCTTTTCGCAGGGACTTCACCATCTGTGCTACAAATAGATAAAAACATGTTGTAGTGTAGTTGTTATTTTACATAAAACTTTACATAAAAACTTTAAATAAAACTTTACATTATACTTTACACTACACTAAAAATTTACAGAATATTACAAAAGTTAAAATTTATTTCTCCCAATTTGATATAAACAAGTATTCTTCCATATTTCTGATTTTGAAACATGAACTCTATCCCCCCGGAAACCCAACCACCCACCCTCCCACTTTACCTTAGAGTCCAAGTTCCTCCACCAGAAATATGGGTCGGCCAACAAAAGTCCACGAGTAAATATCAAACTGGGAGGCGCCCCCCTATCCCTATGCAAAACCAGGAAGGAATACTTAACTTAGGTAGCAGGAAAGTCGGTTGTAGTCCTAGTTGGCACGCAGCTGTTGTCTCCGTTGTGTCTTGGTCATCGGGCTCCTCATCTCCAAGCTGAAAGTGAACCTGAAAACAGAGGAACTAAACTGATGTAATAATTGAATAAAAAAAATGTACTTACTTTGGTGCTTTGGTGACAGGAACACGAACACCTCTCGCCCATGATACTGTTTACGTGGACTGGACCCGATGGCTTAAAGTTGTCGCAAAACTGATCCAGCTGTTGCCCTAACTTGGTGTGTTCGCTGCATCTCTCTCATAGTTGTACCTGAAAGATACAAGATAAGAAAATGAAAAATACAAGGATGCAACTTGGTTGAGTCACCCCAATACAAGCGGAGGAGGGAATACCAAGACATTCCTCTCATTGACTCTAGTAAATCTGTTATAGCTTTGTACCCCTCCTGGCTCAAGATTTACATCATCAAGTCAACTAACTGCTTGGGCAGATGTAACTCTGTAGGAAAATGGAATAGTGGAGTATATGTATATTCTTTAAGAATAAATTGAAATGTGGTGTTTCGTTTTTCAAAGCAGTTGCCATCTTGATTTGGCCCAATGTGAAGTAGGAATGATTCAGGCAGCTATCACAGACCACATGTGAAAATAATGAAACATGGCTTCATGGTACATTTGTACATTAAGTGAAATCAAGGCAGTCATCATTGAGTGTATTTCTTAGAAAATATGTTTGCCAAACATACATGTGCCAGCAATGGGATTAGAATCCCAACAAGTGAAATATGTGTCGTTGAATATCCGTACTGTACCAGAGAGCAAAATCATCAAATAATAGAACTGATTATGTGTACAGTACCTTTAACAAGATGGTATTTAGATATAAATGCTGCAGATAGGTAGCACAAATTGTAGATTCTCTGTGGTTTTCCTTTCGTGTTTCTTTTTGTTCTCTCCAAGGCAAGAGGTATGTAGATAAAAATGCTGCAGATACATGTAGGTAGCACCAATTGTAGATTCTCTGTGGTTTTCCATTTGTGGTTCTTTTTGTTCTCTCCAAGGAAAAAAGACTGCACCTGGAAGTACATTTAAGGAAAAGATCAGCGATGGTTCAATTAAAAAGAAAGAAACCCCCGAAACTAAGCCCACAATTTTAACACGAAAACCCAAAAGAGAAGACCCTTCAATCTACAACTGTAGCTAAAATGAACACAAGACTTCAGACCTTCAAAATTTAGATCTGGAGTAGTACTTGAAGTCAACTTTAAAATTGAATCATTACTGAGTAAGTATTGGTCAACGAAATACAATACAATACAAAACAATACAAAACTATACAATACAATACAATTCAATACAATACAATACTAAGCACTAGATCCATGATCTTGGCCATCTGGTTCGTTGGTTGTCTGGTTCGTTGGTCGTTTGGTTCGTTGGGTGGAGTGTTGGTTAGTTGGTTGATTAATTAGTTAATTGGTTGGTTAGTTTTAACCTATTGGGTGGTCTGGTGGTTGTCTGGTTGGTTAGTTGGTTGGTTAGTAAGTAAGTTGGTTGATTAGAATAAGCCTATTGGGTCATTGGTTGGTCGGTTGGATGTCAGGTAGGTTGGTTGGTTGTCTGGTTGTTTGACACCCCCCCCCCCAAGAAAAAATAACTGGAGTGATGACTTCCCAAAAACCACGTCCACAATCAAAAGACCCACATCGATCCATCAAATCCAACTCAATAAAAAGGTGACTTGAGACCCCCCCCCCCATGAAATTAAACTGGAACGGTACTGGAAGTAGCCCCCCACCACACACAGACTATGGAGTGAATACCTTCCCAAAACTTGAATTAAGTAACCCAAGCTAAAATCTATAAGACCACAGCTCAACTAAATAAAAAGTGAAGTGACTTGAAGCCTCCCCAATTAAAAGTAGAACTGAAATAGTACTGGGAGTAGCCCCCTGCTAATGGGATGCAACTGATTGCAAGAGATATAAAACTGGTCAAAATGCAACATCTACGGTAAGTCCTGGAAACTCGACCCTCGTGGAGAAAAATGTGATTTCAACAGGACCGTCTTTTCGCAGGGACTTCACCATCTGTGCTACAAATAGATAAAAACATGTTGTAGTAGTTGTTATTTTACATAAAACTTTACATAAAAACTCTAAATAAAACTTTACATAATACTTTACACTACACTAAAAATTTACAGAATATTACAAAAGTTAAAATTTATTTCTCCCAATTTGATATAAACCAGTAGACTTCCATATTTCTGATTTTGAAACATGAACTCTATCCCCCCGGAAACCCAACAACCCACCCTCCCACTTTACCTTAGAGTCCAATTTCCTCCACCAGAAATATGGGTCGGCCAACAAAAGTCCACGAGTAAATATCAAACTGGAAGGCGCCCCCCTATCCCTATGCAAAACCAGGAAGGAATACTTAACTTAGGTAGCAGGAACGTCGGTTGTAGTCCTAGTTGGCACGCAGCTTTTGTCTCCGTTGTGTCTTGGTCATCGGGCTCCTCATCTCCAAGCTGAAAGTGAACCTGAAAACAGAGGAACTAAACTGATGTAATAATTGAATAAAAAAAATGTACTTACTTTGGTGCTTTGGTGACAGGAACACGAACACCTCTCGCCCATGATACTGTTTACGTGGACTGGACCCGATGGCTCAAAGTTGTCGAAAGACTGATCCAGCTGTCGCACTAACTTGGTATGTTGGCTGCATCTCTCTCATAGTTGTACCTGAAAGATACAAGATAGGAAAATGAAAAATACAAGTATGCAACTTGGTACGTATTTTCCTTTTTATTACAGCCATTATTGTTTCAGACAGTTTTTTAAAAATTCAAAGAATGTATCATTTAGAGCAATACATTTGATACATTTTCTGAAAGAATCTGTTCAGTGACCTTTCACGAGCACCTTCTTTAAGGTGCTATGGAGCAATATATTGGGCACATTTTCTGAAAAAGTCAAAGGATTCTGTTCAGTGACCTTTCCTGAGCACCTACTCTTAGCTATTTTTCAGTCACATTTTCAGAGGGCTGAAAAGGTTAATTCATCATGTTTATGGTCATTCTGACCATTTCCATTGTGTTCCCAGTCATGTAAATGATATGTGGAACTAGTTAAATTGACTGGAGGACCAAACAAAACTCTGTTATCTTGGTTCAAAAAAATCCAGCATGGTTTTGACATTTTTTGTTTTGTCATTTCCTGTTAACTTCCATAGCACCTTAAGGCCATGGTGCATGTTGGGAAATTTTCTGCAAACCTTAATTCAGCCACATGTCATTTTTCAAACAGGAATCACTCCTTCTCCACATTGTCTATATCTTCCAGTTTTGCACAAAGACTGCACGTATGACAGAAAAGACTTGTGAGAAGAATGTTTTGAGAAAGTGTATCAATTTTTTCCAAAATCCAACATGGTTTTGTCACTTTCTGTTTTTTTTCAAAGCTCCTATCATTTATAGCGATATGTTTGGCACATTTTCTGAGAAAACAAAAGATCCTGTTCTTGCACATATGTTTCTATTTTTCATAAACTGTTGCAATATGGTCATCGCATTGCTTATCTTTTGAATTCAAAGTACTAATAAATATAAATTGAAATCGGACTGACGAATGAAATTCAAGTACAAGTGTATACGTATTCGAAATAACTTATATTATGAGGTTATATAATGGTTGATTCTGTATATCGTGTTTATACTCAAGTGGGTATATGATATATTCACGAGTGAACGAAGGGAACGAGTGAATATATCATATACTCATGAGAGTATAGCGATATACAAAATCAACCATTATATGATCTTATTATCCCACCCTAATCTGTAATCAATAAAATGTTAATCTAAATTCAGCATGCAGTTGTATATCGAGTCGAAGAGTTGTATACGCTGCCCAGGAGTTGTATACGCTATCCAGGAGTTGTATATCATTCTCAAGAGTTGTATACGACGGGTGTTGGTTTTATATTGCAGTTATACAATGCTATTATACAATCATTTAAAGCACTTGGGGTGGGAAAACAAAGGCTCTCTAATACCCATACAAATTGAGGTTCAGCTGGAAAGTAACATTTTGGTAAAAATGACTATACTGTACCTGCACATGTTATTTTCTGGTACAAAATTAAGTATGAAGGCATGTGTGTATTTCCTTGGTTTTTTCAGGAAAGTATCATTACACTGTCTACTTTTAGTAAACCTGGAAACAGGTCAATGGTAGCTCCTGTGTGTCTGGAAACTTTGAAAGAAAATTGGGGAAAATAGAAAGTGTGAAATATCAGAATTTCCTGGAGTTCCCTGGGATTGAACTTCTACCAGATATTCTAAAAGAAGACAGTGTAATGATACTTTCCTGAAAAAAGCAAGGAAATTGACACATGCCTTCATACTTTATTTTGTACCAGAAAATAACATGTGCATGTATAGCATTCTTTACCAAAATGTTATTTGCCAGCTGTACACGTACCTTAGGTTATTCTTTCAAAACAACATTTTGCCCATGCTACAGGTATTTTCTGGAACAAAATAAAGTATGAAGACATGTGTGTATTTCCTTGCTTTTTTCAGGAAAGTATCACGGGGTACCATCGAATAAATTTGGCAACGTACCGGAGAACGACATTTTACTAAGAAATGGCAATAATTTAGCACAATATATTTTTTAACTAGAGTTCTATTTTGATTTTGACAAAAGTAAGTATTCCATGCAATAACTATTTCATTCATGAGTTTGTAGGAATTCTGTTGGAACCCAGTTCTGATCAAGTACGAAGTTATTGAAATCGGCGCAGACGGACTTTACTCCGAAAGATGGTTTTTCGAATTTAACTTTTCACAACATTTAAGTATAGACTTTTGAAAAAAGTACAGAATAGTCCTTATACTTTTGAATAATTCTGTTATTTCTGATTCACACGACTCTGATTTGTTTAATTGAAAAAAAGTTTTAAAAATATTACTTAGGAACGTAACCGGAGCTGGGAACGTAACCGGAGCAGATCAGTTGAATTATTTAATCAAAAGAATTAAAATATATGATTTAAAGCACATATACTAATTTAAAAACATACGGGATTGTTCGAATGCGTATTTATTACATTTTATTTAAAGAAAAAAATTTATCCATTGTGAAAAATTAAATTTGGTATTTACCTTGCATAAGTGCACTTACCTTAGAAAGGCTATCAAACATAGAACAATCATTGTATGGAGAATGAAGTGATTAATTGTAGTAAGCAAATAATTCCATTTGGTTTCACCCATTGTATTTGTTCAGCGAACTATTAGAACCCACTCTGTTATACTAATTTTGTATATATATACTGTTTATACATACATGTATTATACTTCTAAGACAACTTCTCTTTTTCAGGGGAAATAAAAGCATTTAAATGCTAGATTATTAAAAAAAGTTAGGATACAACGAACTGTATATAGCGTAGGTGTGTTAAGTACTTGTCATGTGGTCGATAATTCAACTGATCTGCTCCGGTTACGTTCCCAGCTCCGGTTACGTTCCTAAGTAATATTTTTAAAACTTTTTTTTTAATTAAACAAATCAGAGTCGTGTGAATCAGAAATAACAGAATTATTAAATAGTATAAGGACTATTCTGTACTTTTTTCAAAAGTCTATACTTAAATGTTGTAAAAAGTTATAATCGAAAAACCATCTTTCGGAGTAAAGTCCGACTGCGCCGATTTCAATAACTTCGTACTTGATCAGAACTGGGTTCCAACAGAATTCCTACAAACTCATGAATGAAATAGCCATTGCATGGAATACTTACTTTTGTCAAAATCAAAGTAGAACTCTAGTTAAAAAATATATTGTGCTAAATTATTGCCATTTCTTAGTAAAATGTCGTTCTCCGGTACGTTGCCAAAATTATTCGATGGTACCCCGTGAGTATCATTACGTTGTCTTCTCTAAGTAAACCTACATTTCTGTAGTAAGTGGTCAATGGAAATCCAGTGATATTGAGAAATTTGGAGTAGAAATTTGAAAATTGAAAAGGTGGCCATTTTGAATGATTTTTCTTAAGATTTCAGCATTTCGTGGAGTTGCCAATTACCTAAAAAGACATTGCAAGGATACTTTCCTGAAAAAAGCAAGGAAATACACACATGCCTTCATACTTTATTTTGTACCAGGAAATAACATGGGCAGGTACAGTATACATGTAGCATTTTTCCAAAATGTTGTTTGGAAAGAATAACCTAACCATAGAAGATATCCATACCGTTGTCGTTGTGCTGCATGACACCACCATTCGTACTTTTGTTGTTTGTGTTTTACCTAATCCTTAGTTTTCTTCGTCTGGAACCACTTCATGCTTTTATGCCTTGGTCACATTTGCTCCGATTTTCACAACGGAGCCTGGCCGATTGAGTATTTTGTTCTTACAATGTGGCTATGGTTGTCCACTTATGAAATCATCCAGATCGAGCATATGCTGGCATAATAATCCGGGCTCTGCTTATTCATTTTGTCTACAACAACGGCAAATAACTGCAATTTTTATGATATACTGTGTTATTTTCGTTTTTACGTATCGGCATTTTTCAACTTCGAAAATTCCTTTGTTCTTATTTGAATAATGAATGCTCATAGGGATCTAACCACGTGATCAGACGTAAGGTGGTCTGTTGAGATTGACCAATGAACACCGCCGAGAAATTGCTGTAATCGAATGCTAGTACGCATCAGTTTTAAGCGTCTGGTATCAGTTCCAAATACAGGGTGGTCCTATATTTCCCTTATTACCTGCAGGAATCCTTTCATAGTTTCACATGTTGTAGAGGAAGGGCTAATATATTTGTTGGTACTATACATTTTTCTTAGTATTGAAATTTGCAGAAATAATAAGCCCTTGGGAAACCTAATGTTTTCTGACTTTGTTTGGTTTTGAATCCCACACAATATAATGTAAAAATTAGTATCCTACCTCTGTTAGTTCAAAAGTTATTGTGATCAAAAGAAATGTTCGATGTTTCAAAAGACGAGAACATCTTCCAGTGAAATCGCAACATAACCCTATATGGTCTTAAAATGTCAATATCTTCATTAATCATGGACCAATTCTAATGAAATATGACTCAAAACACTCAAAATTAGATTTCCTTTTGATTTTTGTAATATGTGGGGGGCACTCCACCGTAAGATTTTGATTTTGGGTCACAAGGGGCAATTCCCCCCCCCTCTACCCGTTTTTGTAGGTAACATGCCTCTAAACTGTTGAATGGTTGAAACAGCTTCAAAATGATCAATAAAAGTGTGAAATATGTTTTCTGCTCAAATAGTGTCTCATTTGTCATATGGTAGGGTTTAAACTTATAATCTCTCACTGAACGTTTTTTTAAGATCATTTAATGTGTATCAACAATTTCCGTCAATCACATTGGTAAAATTTTGCACAAAATCTAATTTGAGGCGTGTTGTTTTAGTCTTGTAATTTCTTCGAAATTCAAGACTGAGAACAAATTATGGTGTCAACAAGAATTTTAGACCTTTCTCTACAAGATGTGATAATATGAGCAAATTCATGTATGTATTAAGGAAAATATAGCCTGTTGCAGGGGTTCACTTTTTGGACCACCCTGTATATCTTATCTCCCAAATGGTTCCCTTATCACGTTCGAATTTCACGACGCTAGACATTAAATGCATGCTAGTGTGGATATTGCGTTCTACTTATACAACGTTTCAAACACATAAACATTAAAATAACATGCCAAATGAGTATCAAGTATATGTGAGATAACTCCCAATAGACGGTAATGTTAACGCAGGTTTGATCTACAATGTAAAAGTATAACAGTATTTAACAGTAATTTTAGTTTGGTTTAAATCCATCATTATTTGCTTTTGGAGTATAAGTATTTGTATTTCATAGATATAAGAAGAGCCATGCAGGTTACCGCAAACAATTTCAGATGCAAGGAGGATTGGATCCCAGAGTGCAACATCGATATTCTGTTCCATAATTGACTAGATGCGAGTAGAAAAAAACTTGATTTACGCCATTAAATATTCAAAATCCAGTCAAAGCGATGTTATATTTGAAATCTACATGTAAAATTACGTCTAGAAATTCCAAAACTCACAAGAAATGATCGGGATATTGGTTCGAATCTTTTGAATTGTAAATTTTGAAATTATATTCGGTTTTAATTTCAGAAAATAACGACGTTTTCATAAATATATATTCAATCTCTCGGGCTCTTCTCTAGCCTATTCATTGCCTCTTTTCCAGTTGGATGCAATCTAAACTAGCAAGTGAAGTATATATTAGTATTACTTCTCAAAAGGGTGTATTTTCTCTAAACAGATGATTGACTCGCCATGCCATGCCGACATCAATAATGAGGCACTGTTGGTGTAAATACAGACCTACAGGGTGAGCCAAAAAGGTAACTCAAACAAACGTTGATAACTCTGTTAATGAACATGACTTTTAAAGTCATATTTGGCGAAATTAAACCTTGTTCAATGTTCTTCTATTCTACTAAGTGTCATTGGTCTTCCTCCAATGAGCACGATGTTATGGCCATTTTCCAAAATATGATGTAAGAAGGCGTCGTGTCTGGAGGTTAACTTGGACGTATCAGGTGAAGTTGTTTACTAGATGAGCACACGGGCCCCTTATGTAATGGCTCACGTCTTCTTGTTTGTCCATTGTTTCAATGTTTCAAGGTTTGTTAGTGTAGACATTATCCCAACAAATAATCTGGAGTGTTTTATGTCCGATGAGTGTGGCCTGTTTCGGCATTTGAAGCATGATTTGTAAATAGCCATGAAATCGTGACCATTTGATATAGACCAATGAGACTTAGTAGAATGAAAAACAACTAAACATTAACTTTGGTTTAATTGCGCCAAATATGACCCCAAATCCATACTGAATCACTGAGTTATTAAGATAAGTTTGTTTGGCTTACCTCTTTAACCTTACCCTGTATAATCATGTTCATGAAGACCGATGTGCTCATGTAACTAACATTTATACAGCATTTAACTCTGCATAGTTGCACGCATAACCATCGACAAGGTACAGTGACAAAATATACCGTTGTACAGTCACTTTAGATGTACGGTGTCACTATTAACTGATTTGAAGCAAGATAACTATGATGCAGGTGTGATGTAGGTTTTAAAAAATCTTAATCTTAATTTTGGAAATACCTGAAAGATTTCATGTTTAATTTCGTGTACGTGTTTTCGCTTTGGAAGACTTTTAGCTCTCTGATTACGTTAAAAGATTTTCGAGCAATGCTAGATTTTTTCGTATTTCATCTAAACACAAAAATTAATCGGTTGGAAAATGTTGGGGTTTTCACATTTTCTTTGATCATTTTTTCCCCTGTCGCCTAAGAGTGTCGATTATTTTTGTTAGAATATGTTTCTCTAAACAACACAATTTAGGACGGATGGAAATTAATAAATATTCAAGTATTTATTGTAATTTAAAAAAATCAGAATTTTGCTTTTTCATTTTATGAAAGTATTGTTGTTGTGGTGGTTAATTTATGCCCATTTGGTATTAACTTCCAGCCCAAACTCCCATCCAGTGTCTCGGAATATAATATGTTGAAGACTAGCACTGCCACGAAGTTTGCCCCCAGGCTCTTTGATTATTTGGCGTCTCAATACCTTACGTTTTGTTAGTTACATCTGAGACTAACATAAAAGGTTACATTGATAGATAGATCTATACTAGCTTATTGAACATGACTTTTAAAACCCCGTTGATGATATCTGGAATGTATTCAATAGTTCAATCAAATTGAAGTAATTCTGTCATTGTTTTGTTCCAATTTTAAATGCATCTGGCCCCCCTGACAGTTAGTGTTACGAAAAATGCATTGCCTGCATTAGGGTTAACTGTGGATTGAGTTAGTTCAATGGGAAAACGTACATTCGAGCTTACAACGTACGCTTATGATTTTTTAAATGATAGCCAAAACGTTAATACTTATTAAATCTTCAACAGACCTTAATTGTGTTGTTTCAAGAAACATATTCTCATAAAAAATATTCGACACTCTTAGACGACAGGGGAGGAAATGATCAAAGGAAATGTGTTAAAAAAACATTTTCCAACCGACCAATTATATATTGACTACGAAAAAAAATCGAGCACTGTTCGAAATCTTTTAACGTCATTAGAAAGTTAAATGTCTTCCTAAACGAATACACACCAAGTCAAACATGAAATCCTTGATGTACTCCTCAGATTATTTTTTTTAAACCTGCATCAAACCTACATCATTGTCTTTGCTTCAAATCGATTAAATAGTGACACCGTACATCTAAAGTGTACGGTACATTTTGTCACTGAACCTTGTCGATGGTTAGGCGTGAGTTGACGAAGACACCATAATTGGCATCTTATTAGATCAACCAGATGGTAATATGTTATAAACAGATTGTAAATATTTAAAATGTAGTTATCGAATATTAACCAGACCTGAGAGACAATTGAAAACATACAAGGCACATGGTGGTCTCTTTGGTTAACCATTTCACCTTTTCCACTCATGGGGTTTTCAACATCGTGAATAACATGGATTTTATCATTCTTATAAAGGGCTTGGTTATGTTGTTTATAAGTGTGTGAATTTAATTCCAGTTACATAGTGTGATTTGATATTAAGGAAATACCTTGGGGATCTGAATTTTGAAATTGAATAAGCTCGCCATAATGAGAGTACTTTATGTTTCGGTGATTTTCGTGTGCGCACTGGCAACAGGTAAGGCTTAATATGTAAATACATTGAAATATGTAACAAGAAATGTGATTTGATTTATCATATTACAAAGTTATTACTCCCATTTTGAAAATTGAATATAATATTTCCGCTATTACCTTGACAGCAAAACTGGCTATCCGTTAATGCCATTAAGAAATTAAAATTTATTTTGTCTGTTTCAACATGAGCTGATGTATCAACGTGTGTTATAGGTTGCCTCGGCCAGAGCGATTGCGACCATTGTAATGGCCAACCCGATGGGACAATTTGTGAGTTCGGGTGTAAAGTGATCTCATTTTGTATGAGTAACATTGCAGTTACAGTGGAGTGCCCCCCACACGAAGTTGTAGATCTTCCTAGCAGAACATGCAGACCGTAAGTAGTTCAACTTTATATGTTTTATTTATCCAAAAATACATTCCCATTCATAAAGTTGGAAAACGGAAGTTTCGATTTGGGTAGCATAGAAGCAAGTCAATGTTTGAACCTAAATTTTGCTCCTAAATTACCATATTTAGGAAAGGTTGAACAAATTGCCAAATATAAACATGTTTTAATAAGTAATCCAAATAGAGGCTTCCCGTTTTCATGCTTATGAAGGGAAGTTTTTTTATTAAGTTTATTTTATTACAAATTATCATATCAAAATACAAATAGCGGCTGTACTATAACAGTATTAATAGCCATATTTAATACAAATTTATAGGTACATATGATTTGGTCACAGATTTTAAAATAATATACAGGTGGTGGAAAGAGTGACTAGACATTTACACATCTTTCAAAAAAGTGTGTGCCTATAGCGGCAACATTGATAGTTAGGTACCAGTGTACATGTAGATTATTATACTATATGTACACGACATTATCATTAGAACTCCCTCTCGGAACTGTTCAGTTGAGTCGTTAAAATTGCATTTTCATATTTTAGATTTCATGGATTTAGCCCTTCTCGAGAAAAATGTTTTATCAAATATATTTTATCAAAATTCGATGACATGTGAATTACTACAAAACGGACTTTTCTATCAGGCGCGATGACATGGTTGGTATGGATCTTAATAGAGGAATGAAATGTAAATTATGAATAACGAATAGACTGGCGAATAATATTTCAGTCCCGAACTCGCTGCACCTCCATGTGGAATCACAATTAATTGTACAGGAATTGATGGCAGAGTCCCCGACTTTGCGACGAATTGTACCACTTACCATACATGTATAAATGGCAGATACGACTCCACTGCGGTATGCCCCCCTGGTAAGTGCAACACATCATAGGTAAATCAGGTAAAATATACTGAAGATAAGTTTGACGCCACTACATGTAGCTTCATTAGCCTATCACCCATGGTGACTCTGCAAAGCCAAAAGATTGTTTGGTTGGTTGTTTGTTTGTTTGTTTGTTTTATTTATTTCCTGCTCCTTGCATCATTGGACACGCTTACAAGACTGATTATTAGAGAGGTTTCGCAAAACGCGTTTTAGCTCCACGTATCCGTATCCGTAACGTATTTACCAGATTTATGCGTAGTCAGTTCAATTTATACGTGAAATGATACGGAAACACGAAAAATTAGGCTTTTGTACGTTGGTAATTTACGTATCCGAATTTACCCTTCGATTATATTGTTTTTAGTTGTAAAGGTATCACTATATGAACAAGCACAGTGTGCTGTGTATAATTTGACTAAAATTTGGTGAATGAATTTGTTTATTGTTTGAAATAAATCGAGTTTTTCAAATGGTATGTTCAATTCATTTTACACTGTATGGAATGGTATTGCAATAATTACAGTGTACATGTTTCGCACAACGTTTTAGCTACCCGTATCAAAATCCGTAACGCATCGATGGAGTAAAAGTGTACTCAATACGTTTGTGATACCAACAGCAATACCGAAAGTACGTAAACCAACACTTTCTGTGCGTAGTTGTCTCCGTATCTATTTTGTCCTTCAAATCTTGATAAATTTTTCCCTAAATGTATAATTTTAGTAACCCACATATGTTATCATGTGTATCTTGCTAATTTTGATGAAGTGATAGCCTTATCCGCCGATTTTGATTATAAGCGAGGGGCCTGCAATTTGTACGAATAAAGCTTTAGTCACATTTGCTTATAGGCAGATGTAAGGTCTATCGTTTCTGGGGTCAATAGTAATACCGTGGTCAATTTCTTAGGGACATCAAACCAATGGTTAGCAGCTAGGCCACCTGAATATATATTTTGTGCCTTAAGTCACGCTCCAATTCATTCATATAGAGCAGGGTCTTGGGCTTAGTTTGAGTATAGTAGCTTGGTCCTGACCTCGACAATGAATGTGATATTGGGTCTAAAGATGGCGCCCCGCATCACTCTTGCCCGTATCCAGCTTGTGGCAAGGGGGAGCTTTTTGGCTTAAAACTCCCGAAAAGTGCTCAGTATGATGAAAAACTGAATGATTTTGAAAAAATTCCAGCCAGGTAGCTTCTTCCCGTGGTATGACTTGAACACGCATCAAGTCATGCGATCTATGTCAAATAGTAAGCGGCCTCGTTTGGGGGTCCAGGGAGACTAGTGCCCTAAAGCTTAGTGCCCAAGCTTCCCCGAACCACCGTCAGTGATTATGTAACAGGTAGAGTATATTTCATTTCCTATTTTCATTTTTGTAAAGACAGGCCTGACATCCAGATCCTGTAACGGATCTTCTCTCTTACATATGAGTCACGGTAGGGGCCCCAGATGTTCCTAACTCTTGGGTAGTGGTCCATGATTTGTTCTTCATTAGCAGCCTTGTGATGATAGGGAAGGGGGGGGGTTGTAATTCAAGTACATATTCAGTAGATGTCGGATTGTCCCCGATTGTTTTGTGCGATTGTCTCCAGTTGGAATAACTTAGTTGAGTAAATCGGTATCAACGTTTCGTTGTGGTTTATTGGTTGTGCCTAATTGTGTTTTGATGGGTTGAGTAAATCGATTGAGTATTTAGTTAAGCCTGGTTGTGTAATGGTGGGTTAGTGTCAAGTAGGTATAGGTTATGCCGAATTGTGTTGTGTACGTTTGAGACTCGGTTCTCTTTTGATGGTTGTTAGTCTGGTGATTTAGTATCGGGTTGTGTCCCATTGTGTTATGTTAATCTTATAATGGGTTGTTTTCTCTTGTGAATATGTTATGTTGGTTGGCTAACTGGTTGTGGCTAGTCGGTTGAGGTATATTGTTGTGTCTGATTGTGTTGTGTGATTGGCGTTGTCTCCAATTGGGTTAAGTTAGTTGTGTATCTCGGTATTACAATTTTAATGAGTTTTTGTTTGTGCCTGATTTTGTTTTGATTGTTTTGTTTTGGGTTTTGAAAAATTGTGTTGTGTACTTGAACAATGGGCTGTGTTTGCTTTTGTTGATTTACCATTGGGTTGTGCCAAATTGTGTGGTGATAATTTCACAGTTCGATGTGTTTTCATGGTTGTTAGTTTAGTTGTGTTTTATTTGTTGTGCCTGATTGTGTTTTTATTGTTTAGTGTTGAATTGTGCACAATTGCGTTGAGTTAATTCAACATTTGGTTGTGTTTGTCTTTTTTGTCTTATTATTGGGTTGTGACATATTGTGTTAATCTGACAGTTGGTTGTGTTTTGGTGGTTGTAAGTCAGGTTGCGCTATACTGGCTTTGGTGCTGGGTTATTCTCTATTGCGTTCTGTGTATTTTGACACTGGGTTATGTTCTTTTGTACTGTTGCATGATTGGTGATCTAGGTTGTGTTTGGTTGTAATAGGTTATATATGTCGAGTTGTTGGCTGTGTCCGATCAGGTTGTGGTGTTTATTGGGTTAAGAAACAAATGGCCGGTTTAGGGTATTATGTTGTTGGTTCATCAGTTGATTCTGTGTAGACCCAAAAGGGGATAGAGGGTATTACGATGGTGAGATATTCAACTGGTATGAAAGGTGTTAGCTTCGTGTCGTTCTTTGATGAGCTGATCCCTTGTTTTTCAATGAATTCAAGAAAAACAATGCTAATTTATCTTTTTACATAATATATATTTTTGTTGATTTCTCATACAAAACATACTTTTATTGCATAAATGATATATTTGTGTCGCTTTCTATGGTCAACTATGTTACTTTGCTCCCCTCCTTAGTTTATATGAGGCATGGGTTTTTAACTAAAGCCCATGTATGAGGAAAGGGGGTGGCTTATGTGAAAACGTATGGTTTCCGAATGCCTTGGCCTTGCCCAAGTCGCTATTTTTTTACTTATTTGATCTTGAGTTATTACCAAAATATACAGCTGCAAAAACATAGAATTAAAGGTCCGTGTGCAGTATGGCAAGTGATTCTAGAAATGTTTACGCATTTTGTGGCATAATGCAGTCACTGCACGTCTGTTTTCAAACCCTTAAATATTCCCAAAAGTATAATTTGACACTGAATTGGTTATTGTAAACCTAGAAATAATCTTTTCTGTCCTAAAGGATATTCTTCATTTTGAAATTGATGTCATGAAATTAACAAATGACACCTTAGGGATGAAAGGGTTAATATGTATTTTTGCACTCACCAAAAATACTTTTGGAGTTGTGATTCTAAAAGCTGACACTCCCAATGGTGTTTTGAAATCTAAGTGCAGATGAAGCCTTTTATTTGACCCTAGTTTTCACTACTATTAAACACGGATTGAGATGCGTTCATAATTACGTACTTCAAAAATGAACTGCGAAACGAAAATTATCGAAATACGTATCCGTAAACGTAACGAGATACGGATGCGGATACGTTTTAGCTAATTCGTTTTGCGAAACCTCTCTATGATATCGTTTATACTCACGCTACATTCAATATAGCACGTCCGGTGATCGAAAGAATGAACAGAGATTTCCGCTATAAAACTTATAGTTTACGAATATTAAACCATATGAATAGGCACACGGTCGCGGAAATCTGCTGCTCCCCCTCCGTTTATTTTGTCCGATCAATCAATCATCTCTTGAATAGCAAAAATATCTCTATATTTAGCCAAGTTGACCAGGGTTATGTGGCATCGTTCTAACTCTCACTAATTCATGCATGCTCAATATAATTTAAAACGCGGCCATCTTCACCGCATCAGGAACATGACTGTTGATTTTTTCTTATAGGATTGGTGTTTGATACCATAAGGCAGCTTTGTAACTGGCCTCGCTCAGTGTGTGTTCCATGCGGAAATAGTAATTTACCCAGTGACTGCGACCCGGGCACATCATCTTCTCTTTCCGCGGGGAAGGCAGAGCACCACAAAGCGGCGCTCAATGCGGTACCAGTTAATGGAGAGTGCGAATGTGGTGATGAGGATGACGACGATATGAATTGTGAATGTTAGTACTAGGATCATATATGTCAAATATTTAGAAATATGCATCTATAGCCATACACGTTAAATAGTTTTAAAATGCACCTTTGTACATCACGTACGTTTTATAATTTTTAAAACATGCATTTTATGGCCAGATTTGTTGAAATATAATCCTAGGGAGCTTCAAGTCCATCCGTCAGGATTACGCACTTTGTCCCAAGGTTCTAATACACCATATTTTAAAGGTGAAAGCGTCAGCCTTGGGGATCTGAGCTGCTTACCTAGGTACTATACGAAGTTATCTAATAAACCATTTCGAATGGTTTATTTAGTGAATTAGAACTTTATTTCAAAACATTATTTTTGAAGAATTCCAAAAACAAATGACCAAAAGTCACACCCACTCGTACTAATAGTATATTCAAGCCATGTTGGGAAAATAGTGTTATACTTTTGACACTCGTTGACTCAACTCAACATTATTTTTGAAGAATTCCAAAAACAAATGACCAAAAGTCACACCCACTCGTACTAATAGTATATTCAAGCCATGTCGGGAAAATAGTGTTATACTTTTGACACTCGTTGACTCAACTCTACATACTTTTTCAGCGTTGTGCACTTGCGTAGGGGAGGTCAAGGTGACTACATTCTGCGGGGATGGAAAATAGTGTTATACTTTTGACACTCGTTGACTCAACTCTTTATACTTTTTCAGCGTTGTGCACTTGCGTAGGGGAGGTCAAGGTGACTACATTCTGCGGGGATGGCAGTGTCTACAACAAAGTCACCAAGGAATGCGATGAGTACGTTTCAATATCCAACCTGTCAACCTGTCAACCTGTAACGTCAAAAAGCAAGGAATGAAAGGAAACGTTTGCAATTTGGCTTAAAAATTCAGATTTTGAGATTTTAGTCAAAAGATTTAGAGTCACAAGACTAATTATAATATATTTTTCGGATAATTTTATCATAAATTATTCTTTCTATTCTATACTATTCTTCCTTTAACACGATGACTACTCTCTGTTTAGCCTCTTATAAAGACACATACTCAAATATGTGACACAACCCCCTCCCTCCAAAAAAGTCTGTCAACTGTCAACAAGAAGTCTCTTTCGGATAATTGTTCAAATCCATAATAAATTTTCGACCCTGTAGGTAGGATATAAACAACCCAGTGTACTAAACTTCTGCTTTGTTTTTTAGAATCGCTAACGTGTGCCAACCATGCGGAACATTAGAATGCTGAGCTGCAACACGGATGTTAAGAACAATAGCTAGTCAAGGACGTAGCCAGAGTTTGAAAAATAGGCGAATCAAATTCAAATGGGCGAGGCAAATTCAAATAGGGAAAGCAAATTTAAATAGGCGAGGCAAATTCAAATAGGGAGGCAAATTTTAATAGGGGAGGCAATTTTAATAGGGGAGGCAAATTTAAATAGGGGATGCAAATTCGAATAGGGGAGGAAGATTTTGAGAGGTAAAAGATATATCATTACAACGAAACATCATTTTCACTGTTTAAAGGGTGACGCATATCGTTTAGCAAATCGAACGCTCGTTTCTGGTGTTGCTCACCGTTTAGTATAAAAAGCCCGATCCCGGAATAATACAAGGATTTATATTGGCTGTTGTACATGTATTCTTTGAACGCAATCACTCTTTGGATAACGTTTTCAAAACCATTATAAACGGATTACTTTATCTCAAAGACAATTTCAATAAACTGGATTTTATAGAACTCCCCTTATTTCTTAAAAATGGACTGATCCAGTTGATTCGCCTGGAGCCGCCATATTGTTTTTATACGGGATGCTAATCGTCACCCTTTAAGAAAAGAGAGCTGGATATTATTATTTCAATAAACGTTTGTAGTGGCATCTGACTCGCCTGGCTCATGCCTGGCTACATCCGTGATATCTGAGGAGAACAATTCAAATTAAGAATGCTTGAGTCTAGTCTGTCGAATCCCAAAACTTGGCACGTTTAAATGCACTTCTAAACACACCCCGCCCTGTTCTTAAATGCGTTCTTAAGTTTTGACACCTGGTAAATGATAAATCCCATTGATCGTGTACATAATAGAAATTGACCTGTTCAAATGCCCAGATAGCGATCGAACCCAACATATTGATTATTCAAACAAACAACTTTGAACTAACAACAAACCACCAAAAGTCGATGTGGTTTAATTTACCAAGACACTATAGGCGTATCTATATGTTCAATTGTTTAAAATACAATAATTTTATCTCAAAGATAACCTACATGTAAGTGATGTATTACATTGAATTTGTTAGATATGTAACCGCCTCATCATACCCTTTTCAAAATTATATTTGCTGAGCTTCGTCTACGCTCTTTCAATAAAGCACAATCCTTTAATCAGATTGCATTTAAATTCATCATAGCCTCTCGTTATGTCTCAGTCACATTTGGTCTACGGCGACCGTATCTTCCCAAAATCGAGAGAAATATGCAGTATGAAATATAGGGATAAGCAGAACGATGTAGATTTTCTATATCGATTTTGTGAAGCTGCGGCAGTCATACGGCCACAGCCGTCATATACCAAATGTGACTGAGGCTTGACGCTTGCAAGAGGCATAGTAAAAGGCTGTTGCTCCCTCAATGATCAAATTGGATTAATCAAAATACGCCATAATATTGCTCATTCAAGTATCCAAGAATGTATGGAGTTCTGAAGGTCAGTAAAAGTGTCGTCCTGGTCAGAGTTCGGTAATTACTACAAGATTTCAGGGTAACCTCATAAGGGGTTGATAGATCAACTGACCAATGATATTTTATAAGCCTTTCGAATACTGTCTTTAGCCACTTTGTTAATCTGGGTTGCTATAGACAATCTGTCCAGCATTCATTATGAATCATATCTATGTTGCTGTCGTGATCGCTTTTGGTGTTGTTACAGGTAAGGAACAATTAACCTTTTTAGATTTTAAGTTATGCTATTTATCGTCTATCATAAAATTGCAAGTATCATAGTAATACATAATATCATGTTGAAGACAACCTTACAGGCGTGTAATCCACTTTCTATGAAAAGGAATTTTCAAGAAACAAAAAGCCAATTGATAATGCGAATAATGTAATTATACAAATAATGCGCATTTATAAACATTTATTCCATTTTATAGTTTGTCCCATTAATTTACCTTTATAATAACGTTAATTACTGCATATTAGTTCTATTTTCTGCTCTTGAATCGTGTTCACTCGAAAAATCGAAATGATGAAAAACAATTTTGGTAACATATCATAATTGTAAATCTGAACAAATAAAAAGTAAATTAAACAATAAATCTAGGTTTTTGTGATTTTGTAAAAATTGGGAAATTTTTATCAGGAATGAGTTACCTCTTAACACAAGGTGTGGATAATTCTGGAAATTAATTGATCTCACCCTTGGCCCATTTACTAATCAGTAGTGCAAGGATTGATTTGACTGTTTTAAAACATTTATTCATTAAAATTCAAATAGCGTTGGCAAATTGCGATGTATCTAAATTAGGAGATGCTAAATTTTGCTATTTGAATGACGGCATTTGAAGTTGCAATGATTTTCTTCGTATTTGTTTTTGTGTTGATACATTAACAAAATATATTTTGTAGTCAATCGAATAGTCAAACACGACTCACTTTATAAAATATCAAAATTTAAACCAAAAAATTGATTTGGTTCCATTAACAGCGCTGACTTGGGTTACGCACCGATTGTTTTCCGCGTGCTCAGTCTGCAAGGATGAGCTACAGTATAATACAATCAATGCCCAAATATGTCTGGAAAGGACCTTTTAAAATACACGAAGGGAAAAGGACAAATGAAGTACCGTTATCAAGCTGATGCCTCCGCCTTTTCAAATCGACTTGTACAAAATTTGAATTTAAAGCGCAAAAAAAATCATAAAAGCAATTTGCAAAATATTTATCACGTTTTATTTTTGACTTACTTCTATTGAAGATTAAAATCCAAAAAAATATCTGAACAATCGGCAGTGGGCAACGTACACTCTGTGGTATCATCATGTGTCACTATCACTTTGAGACCACTCGAATTTGATAACAAGTTAGCTAGAAATGGTTGTCTTTTGTCAACGTGTTTGCTGTTCCAAAGTAATCATTTTACATGTCAATAATGTTTTGTAATAATTTGTATTTTTTATCATTTGCTCTGTAAAAGATTTGCATTATAAAAGGAAGTTGTTTGAAAATTAAAGTCACTGTCCTTTACATGATATATTTCTTCATTATAATGAACTAGGTTGCTTTGGCCAGCCGAGCGACTGTGACAACTGTCCCCTTTTACCGGACGAAGAAGTATGTGAGTTCGGCTGCAAGGTTCTCTCGTACTGTTCGAATGGCACAGCAGTTACGGTGGAGTGCCCACCACACCTAGTTGTAGATCTGCCTTCTAAAACATGCAAGCCGTGAGTATTTGGACCACTTTAAACATGAAGTCGGGGCAAGGATGTTTGAACGAGGAGAAATAAAAAAAATAGCCTGTTACCTAAAATTCTATATTGCGTTATGGTTATAGTGGGCAGTGGGCCCCCGCCCAATAAACCTGAGATACTGTATCTGCTAACCCTAATGCGGGCAAACTGTTTCCATAACACGAACGCGCAGTTATGAAGTCAGATCCCACTTCAAATCAATGTTATCATTGGAGAGCGTGTTTAAAGAAATATAAACGTTTGTCAAGATATAGATAGTGACGAATGAGGTATCTTTAAATTATTATTGTTCTGAACGTGTAGGTAAGTATTTAGTCGGTAATTAATTGTACTGGATATAGTATTTAGTTTTAGGAACAAACCAGGGTGGAATGTGTACAGGAGTGGTCCTGGAAATAAAGGGGCAAGCTGATATATATATTAACTTTTTCTTGTTTCCCAAAGTGGAAAGTGGCAACTTTCGGCCCCCAAATTTTTTGGTTTGGCACAACTATTTTAACCCATCTTAAATGACAGGTTCCTGCCCTCCACACACACATAGACCTATGCTCCCACTCGCCACTGATTTTATATTTAGGTTATATTTGAATGAAAGTGCAAAACATGAGTTTTGAGTTTTCTTTTTCAAACTTAACAAATTCAACAACAAAAAGATGTAGGCCTACATTTCTAAATTTCAGCTTGGATGAAGCAGCGCCACCTTGTGGATCGACATTCAACTGTACCGGACGCGACGGGAGGTATCCTGATCTCTCGACGGACTGCCAGACATTTTACACATGTATAGATGGCAGATTTGACTCGAGTGCAGTATGTCCCGGAGGTTCGTCATTTGCTGTAGCGATCTAGATAGAGGACGTTGTATAATGTATCATTAAGAACAAAGTCGAACAATTAGAGATATAGAGAGAATATATATATTTGAGCGACATCTATGAATAGGGCTAAAGTAGAAATGTATCATTTAAATTGACAAAATTCGAATTAGAATTTCTCAAATCGCAGCCCATCGATTTTCAAAGAATTTCAGAGAAATGCAGCAAAGCATCTCACCAAAAAAAATATCTTCCAAAAACGTCATCATATTTATGTACATTGACAATTCACCACTACCAAGGTCATCCATCCGCAAAAAATAATCCCAAATATTTTACCGTTCACTGTTATGATCACATGTTTCCCAGTTATTCTGGGCATTATAGCAAATGAGAGTATTCTATCCAAAGCCGGTGCTGTAGTATACCATTGAAGTCCCCAAACAGGTTTCTAATAGAACTACTTTTTTACTTTTGTACATAACTTGTACATAAACATTGTCATTTTTACAGGCCAATCCTGCATATGGCATAATCGACATAGCAATCAAGACAATCATGCCATTATTTTCTCATCCTTACAGGTTTAGTATTTGACATCCGCCAGCAGTTGTGCAATTGGCCATATATGGTATGTGGACCATGTGGTACAAGTACGTTGCCGGAACATTGTGACCCAATCACTGTCGCACCGGAAATGACCACAGAGACGCCAACAACAGTGGGAGAAACAGTGACCAACGATGGTAACTGCGTGTGTGCAAACCTACCGGATGGATACGTTTGTGAAAGTATGGTTAATTATATGAAGTTTTAGCCTCAATCTTATTTTAGTTTAATGTAGGCTTATTCTATATGGAAATATAATATAACACCAACGTACGTGAACATGTAGCCTCTCAACGGGTCTCTCATATTATGCAAGAGTATCAGTGGGAATAGCGCTCCTCTTGGTTACTTAAAGGCCTCCTCATATATGAACGAATCCACTTCTTGCGATGTCAATTCTGCGAATTGGATAAATCGTCGATAAATCTGGCGATTGGGAACGTAAACATGCGAACCAACGAGCATCGCGCATGCTTCCAAAACCTACCGAAGCTTTCCGAAAGAGTACTTCCGCTACGAAGTTCTACGAATACTCCAACGATGTACAACATACTAATGGGAACAAATTTTACGGCCAAGTCCTATTCGCCAGTAAACGCAAGTTTTTTTGTTCATATATGAGGAGACCTCAATGAACTAACATCTTCAACAATAATTAGAAAACATACACATGCGCTGCTTAAAATTCTAGTTATGTTGTTTTAGTAACATGTAAAGAAAAGGTCGAATGCCAACTGGGTCTTTCTATAAGGACGAGGTGCAACGAGAACTTGGTGATCAATCCTGAGACAAATGAATGTGATCTGTGAGTAGTTGATCTCGAATTAAACCACACTTATGTAGCAGCACAATAGAAAGAACTGTGTTTTATTTTCAAGAATGTACAGCTCTAACAAAAGGAATGTGTATACATGCCCTGTTAAATGGTGTGCACTGAAGCAGTAAACAATTCGTCTTGGGTCTTAGGAAAAACAATGGCCTCGGGGCTTCGGCCCTTGACCATTATTTTTTCTAATCCCCAAGACTCATTGTTTATCCAATACATAACAACATGTAACCACATAAAATTTAATCATACCGCATATGACAATCTATGTTCTGCCACAGTTGACCTCATATATTGAAGTGTAAAGGTTACTTTGGAGTCACGAGAGAGAGACATATTTAGACTGATCCTCAGTCCCCCCCCCTTGGCACCTGGGCGTGCCCAATCTTTTCAACTAATACGTAATTTTTGATACTTTGTGTGACTGTGGGCAAATTCATTTTATGACTGTTTATTTCAGGATTGCAAACGTTTGTCCTCCATGTGGCACCAGGGATTGTTAAACAACGGCAGCACCTTGAAACCACTAACGCATCAAAGAGGTTTTGCTCGACCTGCTGATAAACAATGTTGTATATTTAGAACTGTTAAACTATAGCTGCTTTAATACAAATTTTAAAAAATTAAGGCATCTTTATTTTATGTAAATATTTAACAGAGCATGTGACACGCCTACTACCTCGTGATTTAGATGAATGAAATCAAATTAACAACTATAATAGTAAGAAAATTAATCATTCCAACATATCACGATGGCATAAAACATATTTATGTAATTATGCGTTGGAAGGCCTGTGCTATACAATTATACAGTAAATGGCGGATGGAGTAAGACAAAATCGAAATTAGAATATAAAAACGTTGTATTTCCTAATACTGCTGGTACTGTGCAACATATGGACTTACTCAAATTATTCATACAAAACACACAGCCTTGCATACCGTAAAATAATAAGTTAGAGCATGTCTGGTCTTTGATGAGTGTTTTAAACTCTTCCTTCTCAATAAAATCAAATTCAGTTTTCCACTTAAATATAATCATTGTCATGTGTTAGTCAAGTTTTGGTCTTTCTGTATCACTGTCCGCATATTGACCCACACCATGATCACTAAGTATAATTGTTGTTATTTATTTTATTTTTCTATTCAAATAATTATTTGATTGATATCTTACATTTTGTTGATCGATCGATCGTAGGTACATGGAATCAAAACTAGAGCTAAAATATACACTTTTGGAACAGCCATTTAAAGACTTGATAGAAGCTATACAAAAATAATCACAAGTATACCCGCCTTTATCCTATGCCAAGTAGAGTTTAAGGGAGATAAGTTGGTAAGATATATCCCGTATCCTGATTTTGAGGTTTCCATATCCTGAACTTCCATATCTCCCGCCATATCTCCCGCTCCAGGGCATATCTTCCCGCTTCGAAATTTTTTTTTTTAAATTTTAAAAAATTGAAAAAAAGAAAAAATGTGAAAAAATTGAAAAAAAATCGAAAGAAAATTAGAAAACTCTACTTGGTATAGGATAAAGCAGTTATGTACGGTCGGTTTGGATATGGTGTTCATCCCTCGTGAGATATGCACATCTACCTTCGGTCCCTACGGTCCCTCAGGTAGATATGCATATCTCCCTCTGGATAAACCCCATATCCAAAACCTCCCAGTACATAACCCTTATGTATATGTCACTTGATTATGTCAGTTCCCTCTATAGCAATTACGACTTGAATAATTTTTTATAGATTTTACCAAGGTCGTATTAACCATGATACCATGCCCTCATAGATACATCATATTAAATACATAAAATGGTTAACTAGTAGAAAGGCATCATAAAAATATTAAAAGTAATGATTTCATAAAGGCAGTTGTGTCTATATGTGCTTTGATATTCGTAATAGCTTCTCCATATTAAAACATGCAACACCAGATATTAGTCCAAAGAATAAAATATCTCATTTCAGATTGAGTAAATGTTTTACATACAGGTTTATCCGACCCTCGAGATGTTTCCCACATACAATTTGAACTATGATGGGGACTTCATGCTTTTACATATTCTATTTAGTGTACATCATCCTTGAAAGGCTCCCTAAACACTTGATTTTATATATACAATCCATGGACAAACATACATAAGTCTGTCACAATCGAACATATGTTCGCTTGGAGTGACATCCAACCAAGCAGCCTAACTTCCACAGGATACACTAACTGGTGTGTTCTTTGACAATGGCTGATCATGAATTCGTTTGCGATTCCTGTGCGCAATTACAATCCATTAATAACATCGTTTGAATGGTATGACTACACATCCAAAAGGACCAGTACAGTTTCCTGGACGTGGAATAAAAAATATCTGAAAGAACTAGTGAAAATATAACTTGCAATGGGAGATATTTCTATGTAACTATTTGAAATTTATGACATGCCCAAATTAACGAAAATAGTACTGGTCAAAACGAAACTCAGTCGAAATTTGATGCCAACATTAATTAGAAACTCTGGAAATGATACTTCTCCAATTTCAATATTTCATTTAACAATGCAGAGAATCGTATTCACTAGTGACCAGTAATGTGTAGGACAGAGATAAGAAAGTGTATTCCGGTATCAACTATGTTCTGAATTGAAAACTACAGTAAAACCTGTATGTAGTGAACAAGTGTGTGTTCACTACAGGGAGGGGTTTTATATAGGAGTTAATGTTATGCATCTTAAAGTGGAGCTCACAAGACACATGTGTCCACAAGACACATGTGTTCACTAGACACAGGTGTTCACTGGAGAGAGGTGTTCACTGGAGAGAGGTGTTCACTGGAGAGAGGTGTTCACTGGAGAAAGGTGTTTACTAAGACAGGGTTTACTGTAGTTTGGGGTGAACTTTTGTATGCAACGCGTGATGTCTCAGTAAAATGACTACGCATTTGCCATTGAAAATATGGAATAGCTATCACAGGGGGGTACCAATGCTGACCAATTATCAGATAGCTGAACGCGTGAGGTGAAATAAATCAGACATTTTTATCGTTATATGCATGAATATTCAATTAATATACCTGTTGCATATTTGTAACAACATCAGAGACAGTTGGAGAGTTGATCGGGGTTTGGGAACTTGGGATGTTTTATTGCCCAAATACTAGTTTTTTAATTTGCTGTATTTTGGTCAAGGGGTACAACTCAAAATTGGCAATTTTCCTATTAGAGATAGATGTTAAACGAATCTTAGATTCTTATGTATGGTGGTAGAAAGGTGATGTGATGGGCTGGTGATTTAAATATATTATTCTTGGAAAACTCATCTTAAAGGCAGAATCAGATCTGTAGGGGTGACAAAATTATAAGCAAGATGTACAATTGACCTAGCAATCTATTCCTAACAATCTCAAATACAATATCTCAGAAAAAAAGATTTGGGGTACGTTGGAAACTGATGAAGTTATGAGAGATTGAAAGTGCAAAAATGGGTGAAAAATGTTTAAATTCTCCCAAATAATAAGAATCGTAAAATAATACATTATTGTAAAACAGTCTTTAGTTTACCTGAAATAAAGTCTGCACTTTTGGTATTTTTAGAAAATAGACATGAAAAGATATGACATAACATAAGCCAGGAATATTCTAAAATTGAAACAATTCTTTGTTTGGCTGCTCACTAGATCTGATTCTCTCTTTAAATTAATAAAATTAGGACTTCAGTTTCAAACTTCTGCAAATGTGTAGCGATTTCTTAATTTGAACCGACTATAGTATTTACACATTGTAAGCTCGATCAGATCTTTCTAGACCGCGTTTATTTCTTCATTTTGATATCTTGATTTGATTCTAATAGCCGTCCCCAGATTCACTTTCGCCAGATTTAGAGTGTTCTCCGATCTGGAACAGTGTTCATTCATCGAAAGTGTAAGTTCTATTTAGTTTGTACATGCCATCGATTGGAACAATGTTAGAATATTTACCAATCAGTGACATAGAAGTCAACGGCCGTTGCACTCTCTTACAAATGGCGGAAGGTAAGTGTCGATTTGGATATTTTTTAGTTTTCATCATCGATTAAAACTACTTTCTGGCGATGATATTCGGCTTTGGAGACTCGACCATATCAAGTCTGTGTATGACAGACACTCCGATCCGCAGTCTGGTTTAAACAATTAAGTATGTTTCAACGCTATAATAAATGTAGAGTAACGTTGCATGGGAGCGTTACCGTACCCTTAAGCGGTAGAATATATCGTTTAAATCGTGGCGTTCACGATTAAGAACAATCTATCACGTTACGTACGGAGTTTCTACATGCTATACAAACTCGGCGTGGTCGAAATCATCAAAGCCGAATGTATCCGGAAAAGCGTTTGCTTCAACTAAAACTAAAAAATATCGCAATGGGCATTTGAGAAAAGATAGCCACCCGTTTCCTTTTCCAGATACTGGCCAACGATATTTGTTAGAGAACAATAGAACCAAACCTATGAGGGATAAATATATATCATTTACCAAAAACCAAGGAAATGAAAATGTATTAAATGACTAATTGATATAGTTATCCCATCAACACATGGAAATCAAGTTTTAGAAGATGTTTGAGGTTTGAGGTTATGATATTCCCTGATATACCCGTTGATCATGAAATGTCACTGGTTTTCTAATAGCAGTCCCCAGATTCACTTTCGCCAGATGACGAGTCTTCGTCGATGTCGAGGATGCGTCCCCTTTCGCGGCGTTCTACCTCATAAACCATGGCTCCTGGTGCCCATGTAAGATCATGCTCAGCTATTTCCCCAGCAACGTTAATCTTCTTATCTTTGCCAAATCCAAACCCATCGGTCAACAGGCTGCTTGTATAAAGACCGATCAAACAACGAGAGTTCGCATATCTGCCTAATCGATTAATGGCAGTTTTGATATCTAGCTTGCAAAATTCTCGTGTCTTTGCCTCGATTCTTCTGGCAGTTGTCAAATCATTTTCCTCGACTGCGCCGACACCTAAAACTGCATACACGAAAGCAGAAACAGCGTAAAATGTCATTTCCTTTGGGGCTATCGGTTGGTAGTTCTGTCCAATGGCGCATGGCTTCGGATAGCATTGGTAATCCGGAACTTTATAAACTAGTTCTTCACGTATGACTTCTAAACAATGATCCGCATTTGCAGTACCGATAAATGTAACGTCAAGGCCATCCATAGTTTCTGTGATCTCATCCCCGTTCAGCATACACGGATTGCTGATGGCAGCCCCGGACGTTCGATCGTATTTTCGAAATAAATTGTCCTTTACTTTTTGTATTGCGTAATTCTGACCGTAATATAGATAACTGTGGACATAGAGAGGGTAGTACTGTCCAGCTACATACACAGGGAATTTATCCGCCAATACGCTACGCTCGGGAACAAACGCTATCTGAGTAGATGCTCCACCCATCTCAAGAATTCCAACAATTTTATTTGTAGTACGGCTTTCTCCAAATAATCCGTTTAGCTGATTTGCAGATATCCACGTGAATGCCCCCTCCTCTTCCCCGGACAGAGTCCTGGCGTTCCCCTTTTTATATTCAAACGGGCAAAATGACTTATTAAAGAGCATGGTGTTGATTTGTTGGTAAATCGAGAAAGCTTCACCACCCGGGAGTAGTCTCATTCCAGCTGTTGCCATTATATAGAATGGCGTATCCGCCTGTTTGTCAACTGGAACGTTTTCCTTACACGCGCCAAGGAGAACACCGATATGGTTCCTTAGACCCGTCGGGTCACCTGCATACGCACTCAGCCCGGGCTTAATTTTTTTGTTAGCGACCTCACTCAGTTGAAGAATTTGATTAAGCGACGTTCTCTCTGGCCATGTGTAAATTCTCGCCCGACTTCCACTGCTTCCCGCATCAACGATTATCCCATATTCTGCCGCAAGACAGCAATGGGCCGTAATACTAGCGATGAACAGTAGGACGACTTCCCGAGCAGACATTTTGTTCATCATTAGACTAAGCGAATCTGTATTGTCTTCCTATAATACATGTACAAGGGTACGTATCCAGAATTCTAGCTATGATTGGCAAATCTACACACAGATTGAGATTAGAGTTTGTTTAAACGCCTGTGCAGACGTGAACTAAACGTTGTGGCGGCCAGTTGGGTCTGATTGGTCAGTAATGTAACATGATACGCCCAATGCATCTCGACGCCAGTAATTTTCTGTTTAAATGCCCGTGAATGTACAACCGTATTTTGTAATTGAACGTTACTAAACACGTTCCTACGCACTTTATTCGAGAATTTGCTAGTACACGTAGCCCATTGTCGATGCACCGAGTAAACTCATTGTATCATGAGATCTCCTGGTATGTATTCCTGTGCATTGTTTTTGATATATTATGACCAGCATAGTTTGTAAGAATGCACTTTCTTATCTATCTTAACACACGCCCGGATACAAATTAATACAATACTCTTTATTAATAGTTGACATTGAAATTGGATAAGTATCATTTACATGGGGAACTAGATTCTCATAAAGTAATGATGAACATGTAGTGGTTGTTGCAGTTTTTCATTGGACCAATAATATTGTTGCTTCATTAAGTCTTAACGGCACACTCTAATCAGTACACTCAAAAATTAAAAAAGGAACTACCACTGAATGAATGTACAAAAATTGAAACGTATTTAAAATATTGTAAGGAAAATGATAAAAAGATTTAGTATGAATGAGGACGGATGCATGCAAAATGGAGTGAATGGGTAAAAAATATGTAAAAACGTGTACTTTGTATAACATAATATATGCAAGAGAATAAAACAAGTCTTAACGGCAGAAATTGAGTGGATAAACCTCTAATTTGACCTGGCTGATAACAGAAAAAGGATAACAATTTTGATGGTTTGATGGCGAGGATAATACACAAACTGACATGACTTTTTAATTTTGGCCTATTTGGTAAGAGAATGGGCCTCAAATTTCAAAAAGAGGGCCATTTTGCATTAAGGGGCCAATTTTTCACGCCTCAATAAAACGTTTGCCCCCCCCCCCAAATCTTCTTGATTTAAAGGACCCTGTATTCAGGCACTGTAAACTCAAATCGAGGTTTAAATTCGAGGAAGGAGAATGGATCATTTCTCTTATAGACACATTTTAAAAGTGAAACCGTTCCAATTGCCGTGGAGGATTTTGAATTAGCTGCCAACGTGTTGACAGACAGACGGACGGACATACGAACGGACGGACAGACATCATATACCGACAAATTTTCAACTGGTTTTCTGAATATAAATACACATCTTGCACATGGCCTTTAAACACTAGTTCATGATTAATGGTTTAATCATTTTTGTGCTGACGCCGTTAATCGCCATATAATAATAAAATAAATATACAGTAGCTCTCATGATTGAGTATGTTGATTGATGGGCTTTCAAGAGAAGGGTGTGCAACTTTCCAAATTCTAGAAACATACATGTATGGAAAGCACATCAGAAAATAGGCAGTAAATATAAGGTTATAACAAACTGCAATAGCATACTAAGAATTTGATAACTTTTAAAATGCCTGCCAGAAAACAATACTGATGTCCAAAAGATCTTCCAGCATCGGCACGTCAAAATTGTCATTCAAAAAATCCTTGAAATTAACAGCATTTCAGAGGTTGGCGGTTTTTTCGTAATAAATCGTGTTTTGTGGGTTTTGTGCTTTGTTTTGTGCATTTAAAATACCCGTGAGCTAAGTTCAAGCCTCTGACTGCCATTTTAAAAGGCGTTCATAAAAAGTGACTTATTTACCCTACTATCACACCAAACTAGTTCTCACTACGTTCTCGAAAACGGGCTTCAACTGGGTACGAACGGACTGGACGTACTTAGAACCGTTTGGGGCCTATTTACAAACTTCATCGAACGTACTCGAACGGGTACATGTAGGTTCTCTAGAACTTAGAACATGCTCAAAATGATATCTTGGTTGTCACGTTCTACAATTAGAACGCGTGACAACTGACAACCTACTAACGACGAGCTGGACGTACTACGAACGGAACCGTCGTACTTCAATCCTACTAGGGACGTTTTTACAACGAATTGAACTGTCTGAGGACGTATTGAGAACGAAGTAGAACTAATTGCAAATGGGTTAAAACTGACCAAGAACATATTTAATTTATCAACGAGTTAGCAAAAATATAGCTATCACACCAAGCAAGTTGCCACTGCGTTCTTCAAAACTGTTTTTAAACTGTGTGCGAACGGAATGAACGTAGCTACAACGTTCTACAATCAAAGCTATCAAAAAAGTGTGACATAAATGACAATTGACAGTTTTTGATAGTTTCCATCCCTTAAAAACAATATACAAATATACTGTACATGTACCCTTCTCTTGTTAGTGTGCATTCTTAAGAATAAAACAATTTATCAATTTCTGTTGCTATCTTCATTATTGATCTAAGCTTACTTACAAATATTCTGCTATATTCGAATTCAATGTGTACATCTGAACTGTCACCTGCAGTGCTCTGAAGCTAGATTAATTAACCCTTTGTTCACTCACTAATGGTTGAATAGTAAATACAAACAAGATCTTTACTTCCATTCAACCCACAATACATGTGCATTGCAGAGATGATCCGAGTATCAGAATGGATGTACGGTGTCATTATTAACTGATTTGAAGCAAAACCTATGATGCAACTGTGACGTAGGTTTTAAAAAATTAATCTTTGGAATACTTGAAAGATTTCATGTTTAATTTCGTGTGTATTCGCTTTTAGGTTTCTGATTACGTGTAAAGATTTTCGATCAATGCTCAATTTTTAGTAGTTAATCTACCCACAAAAATTGATTGGTTGGAAAATGTTGGGTTTTTCACATTTCCTTTGATCAATTTGTCCCCTGTCGCCTAAGAATGTGATTATTTTTCTGAGAATATGTTTCACTAAGTTACATAATTAAGTAACGGGAATTCGCATTTTTGCCTAATCGATAAATGGCAGTTTGTATATCCAGGTTGCAGAATTCTCGTGTCTTTGCTCCGATTGGTGTGGATGTTGTCAAATCCTCCTCAACGGCACCAACATCGATGACCACATCAACGAAGGCAGTAACAGCGTAAAAAGTCATTTCGAATTCCCTGGGGACAATCGGTTGGTAGGTCTGGCCAATGGCGCAGGGCTTCGGATAGCACTGATTATCCGGAACTTTATGTATATATTGGGAATACGATTTCAGTTTCATTAATTAGACAGTTTCATTATGTGATGGCTTTTCAAGTGGATTTCCCTGCATGCGTGTCTTATATTTACAAACTCCAAATGTAAATAACATATCATTGAAAAGAGGAAGAACGTGTCTTCATTGGTACTTTGAATGAAATCGATGTAGCCAAAGCTGGCTTTGTGGTTTTTACTATTCATTAGTTTGTTCGTTTTTGATACGCAAAACAGAAAATTTAAAGAAAAAATGTCAATCATAATGGTCAAACACAAGGCCTTCAAAATAACTAATAAAAAACACACTTTACTTTGCATGTATTTCCAATACCTTTTTATATTTATTCCTTTCAAATCAATACATTATAACAGAAATAACACGTCTGGCTGAAAACTGAAAACAATTGTTTTAATTCTCTTAGAGCAGTACAAAAATTCCATTATGACTTTACTTCAAGGGTTTCTCCATTGTTTTGGAGATAATTGGTCACGTTGTATCATTAATTTACCATGGTCTTCCAAAATACATTTTATGGACTCCATTGTATGAATGAATCTTTTGGGACACTAAGTTCGAACAACATGAAATTCCTCGACTTTTCCTACTTTTGAACAATATAAGTTAGAATGGTATTTATTCATTCATTCAAGGTGCAACAAAGACTAGAAATTTCCAAATTTGTCATCACAATTCCATGATATATGTTGCTCTCGACATCCCATGTCCAATTTACTTCTTAAAAGGCACATGGCATGAAGGACATCACATCACCAAAGCTCAATAACTACCTGTAAGAATTTGAAAAACTTCTAAAACGGCTGCCAGAAAAAGACTGCTGTTCACGTAGAGGGTTGTACCCACTAATAAACATGTGTATGAATTTGTGAGTTTGAAGGAAATCAACTGTATATGAAGTTCTACAGTTCCATAATTTTAAGCTTATTTATTGCTTCAAATATTTTGCACTCTGTTTCTAGTCTTGTTGCCACTTTACATCAAACAAATCATATCTAATCAACAAATCAAGAGTTAGCTAGCCATTAGCCATTCCAATAGTCCCTGTAACAATTTTAACAATTCTAATTCTCAGCAATTTTACGGTTTTAGTATTGCCTGACTTTCCTACAAATACATTCACTTTCCTACAAAAGCATTCACTTGTTGCATCTCTCATATTAACATTTTCTAAAGCAATAACACAAATGTAACCAAGGTAATGATAATCTGATAGCTCCAATCTGGCATTTTCTGCAAGGGACAATGACCATGTTAAAATGTACTGCAAGGGTCAGATCAGACTCATTTAAAATATACAGTTGAGCCATTAACATACTCCATGTTTTTCGTATTAAATGATATCTATTATAATATTAAATGTACACGTATTTTACATTGAGATCTCCTTTCCGAAGAAGCCTTGAGATCATAAATACTGCAAAAATGTAATTGTAAATTATTTATAGATGCCTGTTGCACAGTGTCGTTCAAACCTTTTAATATAGTTTATTGATTTAGGTTTCCAAAGAGCTGGTTTTCCACGCAGTTAAACTGTTCAAGCCATGTGTCACAATGTTAATTTGACTAAGAGTACGTTTAAATACAGTTTTTTGAGAATCAGTGATACTGTCATTTACATGCACTGTTATATTTAGTACAGGCATATAAGCATTAAGTTTGTAAGTTACATTCAGCATGTTAGTCTGTCACTATTGAAAAAATGACAACTATCCTTGGCAAGCAAAGAACAATGTCAATTTAATGATGTAAATCGATACAAACAGAATAATTAAATCATGAAGGAATACGATAGGGTTCAAATTCCTTATACCAAAAGGGAAACTCCAATAAAACCTGTGTTAGTGATAGATTTGAAACCTCTAAAAATGTTCCACTTACAGAGGTGTTCCTCTTTATAGTACTTTTCATTTGGATGAAATCAACAAATTCTCAATTGCATTTTGAGAGGTGGTGTAAATCGAAATTGGAATTAGTTGCATATTAGGACATATTCTCTTCTCACCATAAGTGTTAATAGTGCTTCTCTCCCATATTGCAAAATCTAATATACCCACAATTCTGAAGCATAGATAGATGGCACTGGCAGTCGTAATACAATTTGTGACATCACATCACACTGCTGCCACAGAAATTTGCTATGACATCATTTGGTGTGACCATATTCAAAACTGACATCCATATCAAAATAATGTGAAATTGTATCTTCTATAAACATAAGATATTCTGATATGCCATCAATATGATATATCATTGCCAATGTCATATCATTTTCTAAAACCAACACCTGGCAACATATGTCATCCATGACACGTATATGATGTAATCTCAACTATACATACTTCAACAAACATCAATCTCAAATATACACTCAGCTTGTGACCGGTTGTTACAAGGAGAAAACTTAGCATAGCATGTGTTGTCACTTCAGGGGGAAAGACTTAACACAGCTATTCCTTTTGTTTCATAGGAACAACAACTCCTGCCACTTAATAGGAAAAACTGAAAATCCTGTTGAAAATTAAGTAAAGAAATTCCTATCATTTCTCTGGAAAAACTAGCAATTCCTTATATTTCATAGGAAAAACTTGGCATAGTAATTTTCCTGGAGTTTATTTTGGTGTTGAACGACTGGTTCTTCAATAATATCCGGCATTGATAGAGGTACAGCAGCATTGTTCATTGGTCGGCTTTGAGTAGGGAGAATTGTACTGACAGGATCAGCAAACTCACTTTTGTATGTTCGCTTTGACTCTTGGGAGAGGACATTACACAGAGGCTGTAAAGCGGGGGTTGGTATAATTGTACCTGGAAATAAGGAATAAATGAATGGCTAAATGTAGTGTTTAACATGGTTTTGATTGATTCAAGCCATTTTCCTGATTTGAAGACTGTAGATGTAGAGTTCTTTATAATACAAAGGATAATCTAAAATCAATGTATTTAATAAGAGGAACAATGCATGCAAAATGTCACCAACTGACCATTTGTTAATGACACTGACAGCCAAACACCAGCAACCAAAAAGTTTGAGACTTAAACAATAATGTCACCACTTGAAGTGGGATTGTTGCATTAAAAAAAGAAGGTTCTTCTCACCCACAATCCTCTTGCCATCTTCTGTACGTAGTCGTATGACCTGCATGCGTGAGACATTCCCACCTGGATTGGCTGCTAGGACTGACTCAACCTTACTCCATATGCTCAAAACAGACCCACTGAGAACATGGTAAGTCCTTGATCGGAGACCAACCTCACATTGCAGACCAGCCTGACGTCTTTTACAGTTACCCTTCCTGGAAAAACAGGATTTTGATAGTATTATTCTTCTTAGAAAAACACATGCTTCACACTTATTAATCTTGCATTACAAAAGTTCTCATAAACTAAAACTTTAGAAAAATAAGATTGACTATTTTGGACAGAACTTTTCTATTATTCTTTATGAAAAAAACAGACAATTATAACAGAAACTGCATATAATAAAAATTGTAAATTAATATGTATCAACTTGATTTTATTGAATGCTGTCAAGTATACTTTCAAAATTGGTCTTTCTCTGAAATGGTCCATCAAGAATACTAATATGTATGTAACATTTTTCACATATTTTATGATTTTCTTACCAGTATGCATATTTTATGATTTTCTTACCAGTATGCATGATTACAAGTAGTGGCGGAGGCCTGATATTGATCATTCCAATATGGCTGTGCCTCGTCAATGTACACTTTGCGGTACTTTTTCTTGATCTCACTCAGAGATTCCGTCCTCAATTGGAGCCCTGTACTCGGTCTGTAAACAGAGTAGAGTTTCTCTTTCTTTCGGCCACCCTGTAGAGCCACAGCCAGGATTGCCGTCTTTTTGCTCCCGAACCTTGTCTGGAACCAAACATGGATGTGATAGAAGATACACAATCTTGAGTAATAAGGATGTAATTATTTCACATAGAGTATAAAGACTAAGCTGTTCCATTTCTAATTATATTTAATATTATTTTATATAAAAATTGTCACAATTTTACAAAATACTTTGCCCTTATTATTTCATGTCATGTCTATTTTGTAAAAATTCCAAATATCTTGATCCTTTTTTCATTAACTTAACTTAGGAAATTAGGATTGGAACAAAATCACTGGCATGATTTGATTGGCAACATTTCCTCTCTCTTATCCCTTCTTGTTCCTTAAATATGCTATAATAATATTATACTAAACTCACCTGTATGGACACATAGAAACCATCCTCCTTTCCAGTGTGGTCCCTCCAGATGTCTGAGGCTGCATTCCAGGACAGACCCCTCTCTACACTTAGTGTATGTATCTCTGTCTTTGCACTAGTGGCAAGGTAAGTCCCCACAAATGTCCTTGTTTGAAGCACTTTTACTGATTCACTGCCAGACCCCAGATCTAGAAACAAGAAGAAATGCTTGACTTTAAGCATTAAATGTTCACACACAGAGTCATATATTCCATACTAAATCTCTCTATATATAACCAGCCCTTTGATCGTAGTGCCATTATGGAAAAAAACGATGGAAAACATGTTTTTCAAATTACAATGAAAACACAAGCTGGGATAATGCACTTGTGAAAATTGTAGGACGAAAGAGTGAGTTGATACCCATGTACTATACAGTACTATGGTCTACTAGGTAGGAAACAATATGTGACAGTGGTATGGTGCTGGTATAAACAACAGAGATAAAAATCAATCAGATGTCCTAAATAACGATACCTTTAAATACTTTACAACTTGACAACTGCTAGTTGAGTTATCATCCATATGGTTGAAAAAAAGCTTCTTTATACACTATTGGATAATTAGATTGTTCTAAATTGATTCTGATCTGTAATTAACTGGAATTAAGTAATTCTGTACCTAATATTCCAAGATCCCAGCGCCCATTTGCCTTGGCTTGTAGTATAACAGCATTCAGAGTATCAGTGAAATACTTGAAGATTGCATTCTGTAGTTCTACAGGGGTGCCTAGGATTCTGTTCAGGAACTTACTAATGTTGTTGTAATCTATAATGGAATGAAACTGTTTAGCATTACTATGGTATGCTGGCACTGAACAAAAGTGAATTGAAAAGGAACAGATTTCAAAATTTATTTCAAGGTTACAATATTGTCAATGTGTTCTGGTTTGAGGATGAAGGAAAGAAATGCAGGGATCAGGTGGATTGAATTTCATACAATCAATATATGTCCAGGAAAAAAAGAACAGTTAATTATTTGAATATTGCAAATCAAGAAGTTATCTCGACTGACCTTCCATTGGAAGAACAATACAATTCATACAATACTGATTAATGTGAAATTCCTCATTTTTTTACTCAGAAGTTCCAATTTTCATTGTTTTTTCATGTTATCTTCCCATCAACACTGAAATTACCATTTGGCTTTCTTCGTAGGATGATTAAACATATTATAAAACAAATTAAACAAATACATACCCTTGTCAAATGAGTAGAAGTCATACTGGGGGGAGTGCACTAGAATTCCTACACCAGCTAAAGCATTTTTACAATCTGAAATACAAACAAAATGGAATTATTTCAATGCAACTGAAAACTCAATCTACCCTTAAACTTTTATGGTCCAAAGCATTGTATTTTTAGATAAAGATTTTGATTATGTGATTTGAGGCTTCAGATTTCAATCATTTAAATCTGGAAAATATGATAAAAATAGGCATCAGCATGCCAAAATGTCAACATATTCCTGATGACTTCATTCTTGGATAATTCAGCTAAAAGTTTGGAAAATCTTCTGATGACAATAAAACAATAAATGGTGTTTACTAGGGGTCACACGGTTTGAGATTTCACGGTTCGGTTCGGTGATTGTATTTCACAGTTCGGTTCGGTTCTGATTGCGGTTCTCACGGGCCTCGTGAAATGAGCAAAAATATATGAAATTGATCCGAAAATCAGAAAACATACTAAGTGTGTCACAGTGTTTTATTGTATTCAGTATTGTAAGTATCCAGTTTCACACAATGTTTGTTTGTTTGTTCAGTCTTTTTTCACTCCCTCCCTCCCAAAATATCTGTGTGTTCACTGTGTTGATCTTCTTGTTTGATGTTCAAGTTTTTTCAACACATAAAATAACTTGTCAACTGTTGGCAAAATTAGCACAGTACTTCACTAAACTGAATAAATGTTTTCTTTAGAAATATAACTTAAGTTCAACACTTTGTCAGGACTCAACATGGATCAAAGGCGAACGTAATACACAGAACGTGACTCGTTCGCAAATTCAATGCATTCGGCGTTCGGCTTTTTACAGTATACTGTTCTATCAACCAATACGATTGCGCGAAATGTTTAGCGTAGGTCACTTCCGGGTCAATATGCCGGTGAAATTTATCAACATTTTCCTTTTGTTTTTGTTATCTGCCGTCTATATCAGAAGATCGTCGTAAATATCAGGTATGGTTCGCATTATTGCATGATGATTAACGATTCCAGACGATGTTTAGTTAATTGGTATTACACGAAAGCTTGAAATGGAGTTTAATTCCGAGTTTACATTTTTATTTTTCTGAAGTGAAACTGAAAATGTCACGGTTCTTCAAGAACCACGGTTTTCAAGATTGTGTGCGAGCTAACCGTCGTGGAGGTATGAACCACGGTAACTGCAAGCCACGGTTAACCGTGTGACCCCTAGTGTTTACTTACCTTTCATAAATTTTCCACTGTATGCAGCAGGAGGGGCCACCAGTGGGGCTTCTATATCCAACACTGACTTCATCACAACCTCAAGTGCTGACTTGCCATACTATAAACATTATAACACACAAACGATTAAATCATATTAGATATTTTTTTTCTAAAATTTGAATGAACATTTTGAATAAATTGAATGTTATATTTTTAAAACATTAGCTAGGACAATTTTGGTAACATTGAAACAAATAATTTTATATGACAAAATTAATATGAATTACGCTAAGCTTGAAGAAAATGTAGAATGTCACTCGACTTTTTGGTCTTTGCACTTCAAAGTTCAAAATCAACTTCTGTAGTAATTTGACACCACCTTGAAGTTTGCCTTACTGACCTTTAATTGTTTCCCAAAACATATTCTCTCAAGATCAGGAAATTAGGTGATAAGCAAGGAAATTTTGTTGTTAATTTCAGTCACAAATAATAACGAATGACAAGTTACATTTCCCCCGAGTGTAGAATGTAAAGAACTCATAGTGCTGCAAAGCTAAAAAAGCAAAGGTCACTGTGAGTTTCTACACGAGTACAACTATCCATCCAGAAGATTCATCAATGAAAAATACTAAATCTAACAAATTTCCACTGTTTAACATACCTTATTGTCAATGTTGAATTGGCTCAAGTCACGAGATTCAGTGGCTCTGCGATCTCCATGTGTTAAGGCACCCTAATGAGACAAACAAGAATAGTTAAAATAAAAAGTTCATAAGTTAAAACAAAACATTCTGAATTCATGATGTGTAACTTACACCATCAATAGATTTTCATATTAATTTTCTTTGATCGATTTGTTCTTCTGGAAAGTAATTTACTGCTTTTTAAAATTGTCAATAGGCACTGCTGCAACCAGTTGCCATATTCAATTTCTGGAAGCTGTCAAGTTGCTTATAAAATGAGACATTACTTGTAGATTTAATGTTTGTAATTCATTAGAGCAAGGCATTAACATGCAAAATGTCACCACCTGACATTTGTAACAGACACTGAATACCAAACAACTACTGCCAAATGCCATCCCAAAAAAGTTGGAGACTATAACAATGTGCCACCCAAACAAAAAATCACAGAACAAATAGGTCATATAATTCATCAAGCATGATTTAAAGAAAAATTCACAGTGAATTAAATGTCACTGTATTTAGGATCTTGTTTGGTAAGTTGTCTAAATTGCCCCAAAATAGTAAAGTTATGCTTTAAATGGAATCTCATTAATCACTAACCAGCTGCACTGCCTAAGTTTGCAACATTTCAAAACTGTACTCACTAAACTTTCCAGTCGCTTGGCGACAGTTGAAGCAAATCGTCTTTCTCCTGCTAAGTCTGAGATCAGAAAAACATATTCAGGGGCATTCACTTGGTTAGACCTGTGAGTTCGACCTGAAATAAATGATAGTTGAATATAGCATTCTAAAATGGAAGAGAGGGACCTGGAATACATCCAGCATTCTAGATAGACAATTTATCTTAAACTTGTTTAGACCTATAACCTCATGGAATACTATCTCGAGCACTTACCAAACTGTTGTATTGCACGATCTGCACTCCAGGGCAGCTCCAGGGTGATATGTACACGTCTTCGCTGGTTCTGAGCGCGACGATCAGACTGCAGAGATATGCCAGAACTTGCAGCCTCAGAAATTATTGCAATATTCTGCAAAAACAAGTTGCAAACAAATATCAGGCTACAACTCTTTAGAACCCTATAATGGATATAAATGCAACAATGATCAAATATTATTTTCATAAATTATTCAATATTTTTGTTTGATTTGGTTCCCCATCTTGATCAGATTTACAACAAAATGTCCTGTATTAAATTAACCAAAAACATTTACTGCAAGACTATGTATTTTTATTTCTAAAATCAAGTTTAAATCAATATTGGTCATAAACGTGCTTGTAAGAATTTGTTAAATAATGATTTTACTTTTTCCCCATCCATGAACCTCTGTTTCTCTTTTAAGTTTAACACCTCCAATGGGACATCAGATTCACTGCGGGACTCGTACATCACTTCGCCAGCCTCATCACTGACGACGCGCCCCTTACGTCCCGTCATCTCAGCCACATTTTCTGTGCCGCCTAATTGGTCAATTAATTCATCGAGCGTGTTTGGTGGGAGTTTATCTCCAAGTGATTCCATTCTATTGAGCAAATGTTTCTTCATGGCAACTGCTTTGTCCACAGCATCCATGCCAGGAGCAAATTGACTAGATGTACCTACAATAAACACAAACCCTAGGATTATACAAAGGCCAATCCATAATTCGATGGACAAATGACTGCATACAATACTGATTAATCTGACGTAAGTATAAGGCCCAAAATTCTCAACTTTAAAAGTTTCACCATATTTTGACAAAAGTTGATCTAATATAAAGGATTTTGAAAGCTAAGTTTTTATCCTTATCAGTTTTACCAAAGTTGGTCAATTCATGGTAAAAGAAATTTCATATATTTCACTTTCAATTCACTTGATTCCATGCTGTCTTAGATTCAAGTCTTTGTTTACTACCTACCTGAGCTTGGCAAGTTAGTAGAAGATGAATCTCTGCTTGGTTTTGCAGCTGCTAACATAGCAGTTTCATATTCATCATCTGTATCTGGGGCTTTCTTCTCCTTGTGCCTTTTCTTCTTCTGCTTCTTTGGCTTCTTCTCCTTCAGTTTCTTCTTTTTCTCCTTCTTCACTTTCACCTTCTGTCTCTTCAGCCAGGGATCTGGAACATAACATGGTACTGTGAAAATTTCAAATTCAAACAAATCTTACTCGATTGCTCCAAAGATGTGCATACACGTGGGCAGGCTTTGCTACCTTTTTCATATTTTAACAAATATTTATTTAATCACGCGTGAAGTGCTATAAAAATAATAATTTCACATCAATGTTACATGTATAGCATACCTTCATCACTATCAGAGCCATTTCCAAATGGGTTGAAGTCATCATCCTCACTCTCTGAAGCAGACGACTTCTCTGACTCCTCAGTTTCCTCCTTTTCTGAAGAGCTCTGATTATCACTGTCTGAAGAGTCACTTCCTGAATCGCTTGAAGCACCTCGCATTTTAGCCCTCTTTGCAGACATTTCTGGAAATTGAAAATATGTGAACTCTTACAGCAGTCTAGACCATTTCTTTGGATTTGGCACACAAATTAAAAACTACTAAGAAAACAGTGGAAGTACGACAAGAAGAAAAAATACTTAAGAAATTCCAAGAAATTCAATTACTTTTCTTTTCCAATAGGTATGTACCTTTAGCTTGAGCTTTTCTCTTTCGTCCAGGTTCAGTTTCATCCAAGACCTCCTGCAGCATGCTGCTATAACCCCCAGTGCCAAATAAATCATTGAGGGTTTTACGCCTGTCAGGAGCAGGGAAATGTTTCTCTATTAATGACTGGAATACACCTCTGAAATAGAGAACATGTAAGTACTTTTATTATTTCAATACATATACTTCCGTTTTTGTAAAAGAGATCGAGCTTATATGATAAATTGAAACCCTCAAATGGTAGTCTTTCGTTTTATAATCTAAAATGAACTATTGATAAAATAGCCATCTGATAAAACAGGTATTTGCTTACTTGGCAGTTGACACAAAGTCTGTGAGTTCACCCCCACATTCTTCTAGCTGTTCCAGAGTTCTTGCCTCCCCTGTAGACTGGAGACCAATCACAACACACTGAAATAACAAATAGTTTATTTTATACAGGGTGAGACAAAATCTGTTAGTTCACCCCCACATTCATCAAGCTGTTTCATGCAGAGTTCTTCCCTCCCCTGTAAACTGGAGACCAAACACAATACACTGAAATAATAACAAATAATTTATTTTATACAGGGTGAGACAAAATCTGTTAGTTCACCCCACATTCATCAAGCTGTTTCATGCAGAGTTCTTGCCTCCCCTGTAGACTGGAGACCAATCACAATACGCTGAAATAACAAATAATTTAATATACAGGGTGACACAAAGTCTGTCAGTTCACCTCCAGATTCCTTCTTTATTCTGGAAATGAGCATAAAGGCTAAATATATATATTCAAAAAAATCAAATACTTTGTTCAACAAACAAAACCTACATACCTTGCCATTCTTTACAGCCTCTCTAGCCAGTTTCACGCAGTAGTTGACTTTGGCCGATATACAGAGATACTTGAAGAATCGTTGATGCGAGGACCAGAACTGTCCCCACATAGTTTTCCTCATCCTATGTTCAGCATCTATCAGATCTGCAGCCATCTGGAATTTCTCTCTTGCATCTACCCACTGAAATTGGTATAACAAGGCATTTATTAATAAAATGCGGAAAACTGGAGCAATTGCAACACTCCCATTCTGATTACTCCTTGGTGGTGACAAGAAAATTTAATAATAATTCACTAACTGAATTGTCCCAACAGCTATATACATGTAAATATTCAAATATGATTATTCCTATTTTATCATTTATTTCAGGAATTTCTTGTGTACTATTAATAAGAGGAATAGAAGCAGGGATATATTAAAAAATAGGTGAAAATACATAGAGATAACTTACCAAGCTCACAGCCTCGTTGTAGATCTTCGCATAGCTTTTCTCAATAGGGACTTCCTCAATACGGAATGTTACCCCATGAAAACTGAGCTGCCTAGCGATATATAAGCCTCGAAGCTTCATCTCCATAGCAACCAATTCCATGGCACCTACACCACGTCGTTCTACAGCCATTATAAAATCATTGAACTCTGGAAAGGGTGTGTCTTTTCCCCATAGCCCCAGCCGTGTCATATAAGCCATATTTCGTGGTTCTGAGGCACCTAGAAGTGTAAAGAATGATCATGGAATTCAGTTGCATTGGACTCTGGGAAAGGAGTTTCTTTGGCCCATAATTCCAGAAGTTACATATGTAAGTAGAGCTTCTGGTGAAATCTCTTTGAGAATCCTTTGCATTAATATAAGTACTGAAATATATCTCAATACAACAGTTCCATATTTTAAACAATTTGAATTGCTTAAAATTATCTTCTTGGGGTTGGCACTCTGGAGTTTGTCCTTAAGGTATGCCAAATAAAAATTTAAGAGAAAATAAATTTTCTTCTTCTTATGCAGTGTACTGAGCAAATTTGTAAGATACACAGTTAATTTCCTCTACCTGTGGCACTTGCATAGATCACCCTAGCCTTGGGCAGTTTCTTCTGAAGTTCCAGGACTGTTAAGCCAGTCTTTGTTGGCTTAGAGGAGCCTGTTGGACAGAGGTTCTTGGCACGATGACATTCATCAAATATAATCTGATCAAGTTAAGGTTGAAATATTAAGTGCACTTTTTCTTACATGATTCACAGCAATGTGGAACCCTTAATGAAAACATAGCAAATCACAATTTCATGATTTCCCCACTGTTCACAAAACAGCATTTTTTCACCCTTCTACTAAATATTATATATCACATTTGGTGGAAATCTGGTGGAAAACTCATAAATGAATCTTTTAAATCAATATTACATAATCTAAGGATACAGTTCCATCAAACTCATGTCCGAGCCAATGCACCAGCTGCTTGAATCGTGTCCTGTATTTACTACTTGATGAAGAACTTTCTCCAATAAGGGATGAGTAGGTTGAGAATATAACACCTTTCTTAACACTGTTATTTTCCTTCGAAGAGATCTTCATGTATTTGAACTGAAATACAGAAATATGAATTGAAATACACCGAAATACATGAATATGAATTGGAGTGAAATACATAATTGAATATATGCAAACTTGCATCACCTTAGTATGGGAGCACAGAACAATAAAACAGAGCTGCAATGACCCCTAGTGTTTAATGTAACTATTTCTATTAAAATTGATATCCAGTAAATTATTGTTATGCAAGCCAAGAAATGCAAACATATAACAGATCTTTCCAAAGTTTATAGTTTAATGCAAAACTTTAGATTGCAAATACTGTAAAAGTGAAGTTACCTTATTGAGCGAATAAACATCTATTTTTCCAGCACCGATGTCCTTTAAATCTCTCTCTGCATCTATCTTTAGATCATTCGACACACTTAGCCTAGAAAACAGTGTCAATTCATCAATACAAATGAAATGTACATAAAATACTGAATATACTTCTAAGACACTCTTTCAAATCAAGATTTAGGAATGAAAAAATAAGCAAAACAACTCCTTCTCCCTATATATCTTTTAAAAAGAAATGCATCTGGAATTATGATATTTATTACATTCCCTTGTGTTTGCTTGCTTTACTCCTTGCGGATTCCATTCTTTTCCACTCTATTTCCCGTTTTAAACAATCACCATTATACGTATATTGCTGACAGTTGCCTACCATAATGAGCGTCTGCGTCCCTGTAGATAGTTCTCAAAGATGATGCCAGCTATTGTACGCCCCTTACCCACACCTGCACCATCACCTGAAGTAGACAAAGTGATCATTTCTGTCATAAGTGGGTAACTATGACAATGATTTCTGCCACAATTGGTAACCAATGATGATTTCTATCATAACTGGTTAACCATAATAATCACTAGTCCTGATTTTCGACACAAATGGGTGCAAAATCTCACAACTGCGACCTCGCTTAAGTTCTCACTTTCAAGTTGGTGCAAATGGGTTTTCAAGTGGATGCAAGCTTAGTTTCATAATCTCATGGGGTTGCAACACCATGCTTTTATTTCAATTCTGGCTATCCTGGGCAAAAACAAATTGAAGTGACTATAATGTATTTACTACTACTGCTACTACTTTACTACAGTTTCAATCTTTGCATTTTCTTAAGTACAGTACAATATCACTACTCGCATCAAAAGTTAAAACTGTGTACTGTTAAATCTTGAGTATTAAACAACAGTTCATACCTATTAGGAACCCACATCTTTCCCCATTGGGTAGGAAATGACAGTGCCTTTGAGAAGCATATACAATTGACTCCAATTGCAGAGCAGAGAGTTTTCCATTGTCTATAGTCTCTTCTGGTATGTGAATCTGGTAGTTGATATCAACTGGCTCAACACTGGCAAGAGAACTAGTCTCCACTACAGGATCAGGGTGCTTTCTGCCTAGTTTCACTGAAATATAGTTGGAGCAACCATGTTGTAGCTACAGTAAAACCCATACAAGGCATTAACATGATGAAATGTCAAGTTGTTGCAAATTGTTAAAGTCACCAAACTCCAACCGCCAGACATCAAACGCCAAACACAATTAAAAAAAAATTGGAGACTTAACAAAATGTCACCACTTGTCGAAATTGTGGTGGTGACATGATAAACTATAAAGTGGCTTTCAATGTAGAGATGGTTTATTCAACACAAGTCAATGGAGTGTTTCACGTTTATCACAAAATTGCTCTAGTCAACACTATAGGCAATCTTGGTTGTAACAACCATAGGAAACTGCAAATGGAACCCCCGTAGTCTTAGACTTTATTTGTTTGATATGACACGAGTTGTGTCTAATTGCTTAGTGATGAAGAGATCAGACCTGAGAGACCTCTTCCCATATTAAAATTTCTTGAAAAAATGTCAATTACATTCCAATCTTCTGAATTGCCTCTTATTTGATGCATTCCAATAAAATTTCAAAAATCCTAAATTATTACACAAAAATGACAATTATAACAGTTCTTTACACTTAAAGACTATTCTTGTGAGGATACCGACTCATTTTATTAATTAATAATGCTCAACTCACACTTGGTGGGCATGTAGTCATTGTATGTCTCAGCATGTCCCAGTTCTTCTTCCTCATCAGCAACTTCTTCCTCTATAGCACTTGGCCCATTCTAGGTGGGAAATCATTAAACACAATATTAATTCATTTTATACTCCACTAATCCACATTATATAATCAGCATTTAAGAAGCTTACTGATATTCCTTTGATTAAATCTAATTTTGTATCTCTACTACATCTGATAAAGCTGCCTGGAGGTCGAATAATATAAAGAGCATTCCAACATAATTTAGAGTATTGAATAATTGAATACACGCCTGTTTATACTATTCCTGTCTAATTTCATGACCTCTATCTAAAGCTTGTATTATTTCAACAAATGCCACAATGATTATACTACTTTCCTTATATCATGGGCTTTCAACTAGAATTGAAAGCCCATGCTTATATCAACCATGAACTGATGGTCAATAACTGATTTGTGAACCAACTCATTTTTACTCACATTTTTTCAATACACAATACCTACAGGGCATTTCTTTCAAACATGAATTACTACTTTTTGCAAGGCCTGACTTCGTCGCTAACATGCTAAATATAAGAGTTAGCTGACGTTTGGGAGTCGGACTTACCTTCTAAAGGTTAGAACCTGAATCTTAATGAAACCATATCACCTTTGTTCCGTCAACCATGGAGCATTTGCCACAACATCCAAGAGGTAAATCATGGACCGAGAAAATGAATGATTTCCTTGTAAGTTCCGGAAGTTTCAATACGAAAAATTACCGAACATATATGAAAACCGAATATTTGTTCGTTGTTTTCACGATTTACAGGTTCGTATGTTCTTCAATGTTTTGGTCTAAATTATAAAGCATCACCAACAGGTCTTACTCTATTAATCGACTAATACAGCAGACGGCTCATATTTCTACGTAGCATTTCGTTCAGACAAATAGTGGGACTGTAGATCACGCAGTTTCGTTCGTTGCGTACTTCACTCGAAATTGGTAATTTTATATTGGCTACTTCACTTAGCTTGGCGGATGTAGAACATTGCTTGAAGGGTCAATGCGTTATTTCGTGATAACTACAACGCCTTCCCGAAAGTCAACATTGATGAAAAATGAAAAAGTCGGAAAAGCATTTACACTAATTTCTATCAAATGCTATGTTTATGCATCATCATCGACGCAACAAAGGTGATATGGTTTCATCTAAGATTCGGGTTCTAACCTTTAGAAGGTAAGTCAGACTCCCAAACGTCAGCTAACTCTTATATTTAGCATGTTAGCGACGAAGTCAGGCCTTGCAAAAAGTAGTAACTGCCCAATTTTCTGGGGTTTCTATATAATTTTAAGATTTTAGATTTCAATATCTCCCCAATATCTTTCACTTCAAAATAGGGGTGGGACGGTTACCCGAAATTGTTCCGTTCCGCGGTATTTGGGTTCGGTATCGGAACACGAGGAAGCACTTTCGGAACGGGACAAGACACCTCAAACTCAGTATTTTTCCACCAATTAGATAGTAAATAAGCCGATTTTGTCTAAAATCAAAAATAATTTTAAAACTTACAATCGATTCTCCTCCAAATTTGAAGAGTCAGTATGCCCTAGAACTATAACTTTAGCAAATGAAAACAATCAATATTTATTGATTAAATATAGCGGTAGTGGACGATCTGATAAATCCCGTTCGATGAAGAATAACTATATTATCATATCAATTGTGTAGTGTATATGAATAATATTTCAATCATCGCGATCTTTTACCTTTGTTTCAAAATATTTAATTCGTTTCATTTCAAGTTTGACTTCGTAGGCTCCCTATAATGGCAGCACTGAGTGAAACTTTTACGATAGAAAATGCTCCAAAAAACCTCAAGAGCTCAGTGTGGGAGCACTTTGGTTTCCCAAGACTGGATGAGGTAAGGCAGAACAATAAAACTGCATGCAAAACATATAATCTACATTTTCCAAGCCATGTACACTGGTTTTTAAAGTTTGAAATATATAAAGTGTTTGTTTTGACATGATAACTATAAACAACATGCAATGTTCTACTGTATTATGAGTAAATTCTGTTCCGTTCCGAAAATGTTCCGTTCCGAAGGTCTAAATACCGTTCCGTCCCGTTCCTAAATTTTTCTGTTCCGTCCCACCCCTACTTCAAAACATGACCATAACATTATGAGGTCTCAAATTCCAAATTCCAAACTTACCGCTATTTCCTTGATTGAAACTTCTTCATTTGCCCATATCCTAGAGACGTCTTTATTTGTAAGCTGTGTCTTCACTCCATTGTTTACTCCCAATGCTGATTGAGGGTTCATTTGTAATACTTTCACACCAGACCCATGGCTGGTGGCATGTGCAAGTCTTATATTGGAGTTATTGTTCATAGAATAAACCTGCGGCACAGGAGAATTTGATCTGGAGTTTGTTGGACTATGATTTACAATGACTTTGTTGAGGTGCTGTCCCTGGGGCCCTAGGAGTCTAATACCTCCCTGAGTTATTGAGCTATTAGCCGGCCTACCCATAGCAGGATTATAGTTTTCACGTTTTATTACTCGGCCTTTCCCATCAGGACCAGGCACAACAGTTAATATCTGTGGCTGCTTAAGCTGGCCTCTGATTGGCTGATTAAGCTGGCCTCTGATTGGCTGATTAAGCTGGCCTCTGATTTGCTGATTAAGCTGGCCTGTAATTAGCTGATTATGCTGGCCTCTGACTGGTTGATTGAACTGTCCTCTAATTGGCTGATTAAGTTGCCCTCTCATTCCAGAATTCAACAGGCTATTAGTATATTGTTGTTGAAAATTTGGGGCTGATTGCACACGTTTAATTCCTTGATTCTGTTGAACCAGTGTGTTAGGGACCAGATTTGGCCCCGGGGCAGCAGCCACTGGAGCATCTACATTGAAGTCATTGGGTGAAAACAATTCTGACATTGCCTGCTGAAGAATTCCTCCTTCATGCCCACCACCTGGCCCAGCTTCAGCACTGCCTTGTTTTGGCTTAACATTAATACTACCCGTTTCATTTTTGATTTCTGGTTTATGAGAGCCATTCTCTATGAACTGCTCTGGGTTTGTTCGTAAAGGAGGCGGGTCTATCAAAGTTGTATGCCTCACTACAGGTTTAGATGTATTTATGGGTGGGGGTTCAACAGGAGCTGATGTTTTTTGTGGTTCATCTTTGATTTCTGGCTCTTCTTTGATTGGTTGTTCTGGCTCATTTTGTGGCTCGGGTTGATGTTTCTGAAAATAAAAGGAATAAAAATAAATGGTTTTTTTTCAAACGATGAACCAGTTGTGAAATTCTTTGTCAACGTTTTACAATACGCTCCAGAAAACTAGAGATCCATTGAGGTTTCTTGCTCATTTGCAGTTAGTTTAACTAATAAATTACTAATTGAGACCCAAAAGTGGTTGAATAAATATAAGAAAAGATATAAAGACCAATTGTTTTAAAGCCATTAGACTAGAGGAAAATAACTAAAATCAAATGATAAATTCAGTGATGAGAGCCAGCTATAAATAATAATAATAAACAAGGCATTAATATGACAAAACGTCACCACCTTTCGAAGGTCACTGAAAGACAACCAAAGGTAACCTCCCAAAACACTGAAAACTAAAGTCCAATTTGAACTTCTGAGAAGTTTTAGAAAAAAAGAAATTAGTCAATGTGAAGCAAGTTGAAACCTTTTTGTCCTTAAGAAGGTTATTGAGGCTCAAAGCGTATATTTAAAATCAGATTTGAACTTCCAAAAACTAGTAGATGATTTTGGAAAAAATTGAAGTCAGCCTTAACAGCGCTTTTTAAACTATTGGAAGTTGTAAGATTTTGTTACAATTATTTGTTACACACCCTGACAATCGTCCACAAAAACAGTTGGAGACCATTACAATATGTTGCCTTGGTGGTGACATAAAAAAGATTCAAAACAATCAATGCAAGTTTATTAACCCTACTTACAAATGCAAAATACATGTATGTGACTTATAAATGTACACTAGTTCTTCATATCTTACCAAGTATTCCTCGTGCGCCTTGTTCACCTCTGTCAGTTGCATAAGAGCCTGAGAAAACAGGTCCACATCATCCATGGTCACCTACCCTGTCATCATTACTGAAAGTATATATAACATACAATTCATTGAAAGTACATAAGAGCCTGAGAAAACAGGTCCACATCATCCATGGTCACCTACCCTGTCATCATTACTGAAAGTATATATAACATACAATTCATTGAAAGTACATAAGAGCCTGAGAAAACAGGTCCACATCATCCATGGTCACCTACCCTGTCATCATTACTGAAAGTATATATAACATACAATTCATTGAAAGTACATAAGAGCCTGAGAAAACAGGTCCACATCATCCATGGTCACCTACCCTGTCATCATTACTGAAAGTATATATAACATACAATTCATTGAAAGTACATAAGAGCCTGAGAAAACAGGTCCACATCATCCATGGTCACCTACCCTGTCATCATTACTGAAAGTATATATAACATACAATTCATTGAAAGTACATAAGAGCCTGAGAAAACAGGTCCACATCATCCATGGTCACCTACCCTGTCATCATTACTGAAAGTACATATAACATACAATTCATTTAAAGTACATAAGAGCCTGAGAAAACAGGTCCACATCATCCATGGTCACCTACCCTGTCATCATTACTGAAAGTATATATAACATACAATTCATTTAAAGTACATAAGAGCCTGAGAAAACAGGTCCACATCATCCATGGTCACCTACCCTGTCATCATTACTGAAAGTATATATAACATACAATTCATTGAAAGTACATAAGAGCCTGAGAAAACAGGTCCACATCATCCATGGTCACCTACCCTGTCATCATTACTGAAAGTATATAGTATACAATTCATTGAAAGTACATAAGAGCCTGAGAAAACAGGTCCACATCATCCATGGTCACCTACCCTGTCATCATTACTGAAAGTACATATAACATACAATTCATTTAAAGTACATAAGAGCCTGAGAAAACAGGTCCACATCATCCATGGTCACCTACCCTGTCACCATTACTGAAAGTATAAATAACATACAATCCATTGAAAGTACATAAGAGCCTGAGAAAACAGGTCCACATCATCCATGGTCACCTACCCTGTCATCATTACTGAAAGTACATAACATACAATTCATTGAAAGTACATAAGAGCCTGAGAAAACAGGTCCACATCATCCATGGTCACCTACCCTGTCATCATTACTGAAAGTATATATAACATACAATTCATTGAAAGTACATAAGAGCCTGAGAAAACAGGTCCACATCATCCATGGTCACCTACCCTGTCATCATTACTGAAAGTATATATAACATACAATTCATTGAAAGTACATAAGAGCCTGAGAAAACAGGTCCACATCATCCATGGTCACCTACCCTGTCATCATTACTGAAAGTATATATAACATACAATTCATTGAAAGTACATAAGAGCCTGAGAAAACAGGTCCACATCATCCATGGTCACCTACCCTGTCATCATTACTGAAAGTATATATAACATACAATTCATTGAAAGTACATAAGAGCCTGAGAAAACAGGTCCACATCATCCATGGTCACCGTACCCTGTCATCATTACTGAAAGTATATATAACATACAATTCACTGAAAGTACATAAGAGCCTGAGAAAACAGGTCCACATCATCCATGGTCACCTACCCTGTCATCATTACTGAAAGTATATATAACATACAATTCACTGAAAGTACATAAGAGCCTGAGAAAACAGGTCCACATCATCCATGGTCACCTACCCTGTCGTCATTACTGAAAGTATATATAACATACAATTCATTGAAAGTACAAAAGAGCCTGAGAAAACAGGTCCACATCATCCATGGTCACCTACCCTGTCATCATTACTGAAAGTACATATAACATACAATTCATTTAAAGTACATAAGGGCCTGAGAAAACAGGTCCACATCATCCATGGTCACCTACCCTGTCATCATTACTGAAAGTATATATAACATACAATTCATTTAAAGTACAAAAGAGCCTGAGAAAACAGGTCCACATCATCCATGGTCACCTACCCTGTCATCATTACTGAAAGTATATATAACATACAATTCATTGAAAGTACATAAGAGCCTGAGAAAACAGGTCCACATCATCCATGGTCACCTACCCTGTCATCATTACTGAAAGTATATATAACATACAATTCACTGAAAGTACATAAGAGCCTGAGAAAACAGGTCCACATCATCCATGGTCACCTACCCTGTCATCATTACTGAAAGTATATATAACATACAATTCATTTAAAGTACAAAAGAGCCTGAGAAAACAGGTCCACATCATCCATGGTCACCTACCCTGTCATCATTACTGAAAGTATATATAACATACAATTCATTGAAAGTACATAAGAGCCTGAGAAAACAGGTCCACATCATCCATGGTCACCTACCCTGTCATCATTACTGAAAGTACATATAACATACAATTCATTTAAAGTACAAAAGAGCCTGAGAAAACAGGTCCATATCATCCATGGTCACCTACCCTGTCATCATTACTGAAAGTATATATAACATACAATTCATTTAAAGTACAAAAGAGCCTGAGAAAACAGGTCCACATCATCCATGGTCACCTACCCTGTCATCATTACTGAAAGTACATATAACATACAATTCATTTAAAGTACATAAGAGCCTGAGAAAACAGGTCCACATCATCCATGGTCACCTACCCTGTCATCATTACTGAAAGTATATATAACATACAATTCATTGAAAGTACATAAGAGCCTGAGAAAACAGGTCCACATCATCCATGGTCACCTACCCTGTCATCATTACTGAAAGTATATATATCATACAATTCATTGAAAGTACATAAGAGCCTGAGAAAACAGGTCCACATCATCCATGGTCACCTACCCTGTCATCATTACTGAAAGTATATATAACATACAATTCATTGAAAGTACATAAGAGCCTGAGAAAACAGGTCCACATCATCCATGGTCACCTACCCTGTCATCATTACTGAAAGTATATATAACATACAATTCATTGAAAGTACATAAGAGCCTGAGAAAACAGGTCCACATCATCCATGGTCACCTACCCTGTCATCATTACTGAAAGTACATATAACATACAATTCACTGAAAGTACATAAGAGCCTGAGAAAACAGGTCCACATCATCCATGGTCACCTACCCTGTCATCATTACTGAAAGTACATATAACATACAATTCACTGAAAGTACATAAGAGCCTGAGAAAACAGGTCCACATCATCCATGGTCACCTACCCTGTCATCATTACTGAAAGTATATATAACATACAATTCATTGAAAGTACATAAGAGCCTGAGAAAACAGGTCCACATCATCCATGGTCACCTACCCTGTCATCATTACTGAAAGTATATATAACATACAATTCATTGAAAGTACATAAGAGCCTGAGAAAACAGGTCCACATCATCCATGGTCACCTACCCTGTCATCATTACTGAAAGTATATATAACATACAATTCATTTAAAGTACAAAAGAGCCTGAGAAAACAGGTCCACATCATCCATGGTCACCTACCCTGTCATCATTACTGAAAGTATATATAACATACAATTCATTGAAAGTACATAAGAGCCTGAGAAAACAGGTCCACATCATCCATGGTCACCTACCCTGTCATCATTACTGAAAGTACATATAACATACAATTCATTTAAAGTACATAAGGGCCTGAGAAAACAGGTCCACATCATCCATGGTCACCTACCCTGTCATCATTACTGAAAGTATATATAACATACAATTCATTTAAAGTACAAAAGAGCCTGAGAAAACAGGTCCACATCATCCATGGTCACCTACCCTGTCATCATTACTGAAAGTATATATAACATACAATTCATTGAAAGTACATAAGAGCCTGAGAAAACAGGTCCACATCATCCATGGTCACCTACCCTGTCATCATTACTGAAAGTATATATAACATACAATTCACTGAAAGTACATAAGAGCCTGAGAAAACAGGTCCACATCATCCATGGTCACCTACCCTGTCATCATTACTGAAAGTACATATAACATACAATTCATTTAAAGTACATAAGGGCCTGAGAAAACAGGTCCACATCATCCATGGTCACCTACCCTGTCATCATTACTGAAAGTATATATAACATACAATTCATTTAAAGTACAAAAGAGCCTGAGAAAACAGGTCCACATCATCCATGGTCACCTACCCTGTCATCATTACTGAAAGTATATATAACATACAATTCATTGAAAGTACATAAGAGCCTGAGAAAACAGGTCCACATCATCCATGGTCACCTACCCTGTCATCATTACTGAAAGTATATATAACATACAATTCACTGAAAGTACATAAGAGCCTGAGAAAACAGGTCCACATCATCCATGGTCACCTACCCTGTCATCATTACTGAAAGTATATATAACATACAATTCATTTAAAGTACAAAAGAGCCTGAGAAAACAGGTCCACATCATCCATGGTCACCTACCCTGTCATCATTACTGAAAGTATATATAACATACAATTCATTTAAAGTACAAAAGAGCCTGAGAAAACAGGTCCACATCATCCATGGTCACCTACCCTGTCATCATTACTGAAAGTACATATAACATACAATTCATTTAAAGTACAAAAGAGCCTGAGAAAACAGGTCCACATCATCCATGGTCACCTACCCTGTCATCATTACTGAAAGTACATATAACATACAATTCATTGAAAGTACATAAGAGCCTGAGAAAACAGGTCCACATCATCCATGGTCACCTACCCTGTCATCATTACTGAAAGTATATATAACATACAATTCATTTAAAGTACAAAAGAGCCTGAGAAAACAGGTCCACATCATCCATGGTCACCTACCCTGTCATCATTACTGAAAGTATATATAACATACAATTCATTGAAAGTACATAAGAGCCTGAGAAAACAGGTCCACATCATCCATGGTCACCTACCCTGTCATCATTACTGAAAGTATATATAACATACAATTCACTGAAAGTACATAAGAGCCTGAGAAAACAGGTCCAC